TCACTGCTGTGGTCAGTCTAGACTCTAGGGGCACCTGTCTTCTTCATGTGTCCCATCACACTGTGCAGAGAGCAGGAGCCCCAAGCTCATAGGTGGTGTGGCCAGGGTGTGCCCAGGAGTCCATGATGCCCTGGTCTCCACCCCTGGAGGGTGACCCCCTGCTTCAGTGGTACCCATGCCCTCTCCCCAGGGGCAGGCAGAGGAGAGTGCCACAGGGCCTGGCGAAGGTGGGCCCCGGGGAGTAAGACTGCAAGCCAGGGTGGTGGGTGCTTCAGCCTGAGGTCACTAGACCTCCAGGCAGGAGAAAGGAGCACTGGAGCAGAGGAAGCCAGAGGAGAGAAGCTGGCAGAGATTTCTGCAGAAGCCTGGGAGCCACTTCCACAGAGCACTTTGCATAAATTTACATGGCAAAGAATATCCTTTCAGGCTGGTTTCCAGAGGCTCCCATTCCAAGGAGACCAAAATGCCAGACATGACTCAGGACACTAGAGTGTGCCTGCCTTCAGGGATCTGGGATTGGAGTAGGCAGGGACCTTGCCCCTCTGTGACCAGCCATCCTGGGATGTAGGAATTTCACTATTAAAACCAGCAAAATCCCATGAAAACCAGGAGTCATTCTGCATCAGGCTGCCAGGCTGTGGGTTCCATGTCACGGCACTATAAGCACCATTGATTGGTCACCAACTAAGCACCCCTGGGTTCAGGGAGGCCAGTTGAGAAGTACAGGGGGTCCCCGCTCTGGTGGAACAGTCAGTAGCCTCCCCACACCCCACAGCATCTCTGATAGTCCAGTGGGATAGAGGGCGTTCCAGGCCCTGACCTAAGAAGAGGCATCCAGGTGCCTGCGGAGACCAGCCAGGGCAGGGCTGGGTGTGGGGACACAGAGAGGGAAGCTGACATAGGTGGTTGGACAGTTAGAGGTGTCCTGGTGGAGGCAGCTGCTATCATCTGGGAACAGAGAATGTTGGGGAATGTCTCCATGATGGAGTGGGATAGAAGGAAAGAGGAAAGCAACAGAGGCATGGCCATGGTCCCCAGGCAGTGGCACTGGGGTTGGAGGCAATAAAACTGGGGTTGGGTGGAGGATCAGAAGAAGAGGTGTCAGGAGGAAGAACTGTGAAAAGGCAGAGTCACAGTTTGCTCCCTCTTACTCTCTGGAGCCAGTGGCCTGTAGGGCGAGGTGAGCCTAGTAACCAGAGGCAGATAAGCGTATGCAGGAGGAGCAGGGTTTCCAGAGTGAATGGAAAGACAGGGCAACTGGCCTAGGCCAAGTGCTCACAGAAGGAGCTGTCCCAGCAGCTGCAGGGCTGGTGGAGAGGGAGCTGTCCTGGGGGAAGGGAGGACTGTGCACTGGCCTCTCAGGAGAGAGCAGCTATGGTTTGGAATCAGACCCACCACAGCCTCTCCAGCTGCTGAGCTGTCACAGAGACCTGCTCAGGTGTTTCCACTGCAGTCCCACACAGCCACAAGTAAGGCCTCCCCAGAGCTGAGGCTTCTTCCCTAGCCTGAGCCCCCTCAGCCTGGCATCCTAGGAACTGCAGCCCAGGCTCACCTAGGCCTGCCCACAGCTGGGCATGGGCCTTGAGCTGCTGGAGAAAGGGCAAGGCCAGGGCTGGGTGCAGGCAGCTGGTGAACAAGGGAGAAAACGAATCCTGCTCGCCCATCCTGAGCAGGCCCAGGGACAAAAGACGCTCTTGGCACATTTGCTTTGGAACCTGAGGCTGCCTGGCTGCTGGGGAGCAGGAAACTTCATCTGGAATCTGGTTTCAGCCACTCCCCTGGGTGGCCCATACCTATCCCTAGCCAGGGATCTGAGGGTGTGGGTGCTCAGCTGGCGGAGGCCAGCTGGAATAAGACCCTTAGAACCCGGGGCCCCATTGTGAGTGCTCAGATGAAAGGGACTGGACACAGGTGCTACTGGTCTCTGTGCATCCCCCAGGAACTGGCCCCTAGCCCTTGAGGGTTGCTCTGCCTCTCTTGCTGGACTCAGGATGGAATTTGTCCAGCCCAGGGGCAGGGCAGGCAGGGGTCTCCAGGCCAGGCTTCCTTTCAGTACACCTTTCAGTGTGACCTCCATCCCTGCCCAGAAGTAACAGAGTCCAGGGGAGTCTGAGCTGCAGGCAGCTAGGGACAGGCTGAAGCCCACCATGAGCAGAACCAGGGGAAACCATCAGAGTCCCAGAAGGACACTGAGTATCTCTTTGTCCACCTTCCTTACCTCACAGACAAGGTGAGGGGTAGAGGAGGACACCCCAGGCTTAGCAACCGAGCAGAGACTAAGCCAGGATCCTAACCTTTCTTTGCCAGTTGGGCAAAGCCCATTTCAGAATCAAGCAAAACATACAGGGTTAAAAAGAAAACCAGTTGTATTGAATACAGCTCTGAGCACACTTGAAAGTCAACTTTTGATAGAGTAATATATGTGCTTCTTTATTAATGTTTTAAATAACATTGAGCAGCAGGTCTAAGTACTGTAATTTTGAAATAGTGATGAGCATTAATAATATTCAAGATACCAGCAGCAACTCTTATGAGACAGGGAGCTAGTGCAGGGCCTTTTGGTCACCGGTAGTGCTAACACTTGTTTTGTTGCCCACAGTCATACATGAAGGAAATGCTAAATTTGAGTGGGAGTTTGGAGAAAAAGAGATGCTATTTCTCTCCCGAATCCTTTCCCCATCCCTCCAAGGGATCTGTTAAGAGCCACCAAACTATATAGACAATCAGAACTCATCCATCCACTCAGCAGTCAAGAGAGAGGTTATCCTTGTCAGACAGGGAGGGTCATGTCTGGAAGAGAACCCGACTGAGGGACAGATTAAAAACAATCTGTGACCTTATCTAGGTGCTGGTTACCAAGTGTGTTCAGTTTCTGGAAATTCATCCACTTATACATTTATTGCATGAATCCTTTTTTGCAACACAAATTACAAATTACTGGAACAGACATACATGCAGGTGCAAACCTGTACACACACATGCACACTGTTGCTGGTGTGTGCTAGTGAGCCTCTGTACATCCATGGGCGTACACGTGTCTCCAGAACGCTTGCAGGTGTATGGACACAGATGAATACAGTGAGACAGGAAACACTATTTTTAGCAAATAATTCCAAGCTAAAGGGGTGGCCTCCCAATTTACAGAACTAATGATTGTTCCCGGTGCAGAGGGTTGCCATTCAAGGGACTGCTGTCATCCAGGCTCGGTATTTTTATTTTTTAAGTAAAAGGAATAATGGCTTTATTGTTTTTATAAGTTCATCATAACAAATTCAGGCAAGAAAAAAGTGCAAAGAAAGTTTCAAATTATCCAAATTCCCCCCAACTAGAGCTGTTTACTTTCTGTGAAAAGTGTTAGTGCTCTCTGTTCACTCAAAGATGGAAGGTAAACAGGGAAGTTGCTTTTATGAAGTGAAAACATACAACCTCACCTGTTATTTTTATCAGATTCTCCTTTATCTTCTTGTGAATGAAACAAGAAACAGAGAGGACGGGGTGGCTCTAAAAATACAGGTCCAGGGACCTCTGTCCTTCTCCCTTCATGCATGCCATGCTGCATCTCCCCGGGGACCAGCAGAGCCTTTCTGAGGTGGGGCTGTGTTGTGTGTGCTCACTGCTTACCTGCCACTTGGCCAGGTCCCTGCGGTCCCTAGTGCTTAGGGGGCCCCAGTCCAGGCCCTTTGCTGGCTCTACACAGGGATGGGTACAGCAGTAGCTCAGGGGGTTCTTGGTGACTTGTTTTGCAGGAGTAAGATCAGAGCAAAGCCCCTGGTTGATGACAGGAAAAGATTCTGTCCTGGCAGAGATCTCCAACAGGTGCCCACTATGCCCTCTCGCGCCAGTGCCTGGCCTTTCCCGGGTTTGATGTGGTAATTAGCAGCACAGTGTCCTGGCTCGGTTGTCATATCAGGAGCCCTTCTGACCACATCCTGTTTGGGAGGGGCAGTTGGGAATGCATTCTTCTGCCTCGCTGTCATAGGCAATGTGTTCACACCACTTTCTAGATCATTTGAGGCCACCAGGGGCCACATTCTCCCAGTTTGATGTCACATGCATATGCTGACTGGATGTCCTGGTCAATAGCAGTCACGGTTTTCTGGTTCTGCTGTCCCTTGGGATTGGGGTTTATTTGTTCACCTATAGGGGGAGGAGGGAGAGGAGCCATGAGAGGAGCCAGAAGTGCTCATGGGCATCTCCCATCTTTGGAATCAGATTAGCTTGGGAGGACCCCATACCCTGGGGATTCCTTTGAGATCCCCAGCAGGGACTCTACGACAGCTGTGTACATCAGGGTGCCAACATCTGGATGACAGCTCCAAAGTTGTTGGCCAGATGTTTCTGAAAATCCACAGGATTTTCCTGGGTCTCCTACAGCAAAGAAGATGTCCCATCAATTGACACCCCAGGTGAAATCTGAAAACCACCACTCCCCTCAAGGGCACACTGAGACAGCACTTAGGCTGGGGCTCTGCCCCAGAGAGGAGGGCAGGACCTGGTCCCTTCTGATGCCCCGGCTCCCCAGCACTTACTGAGTCCTTTATTTGTTCAGGACCAGCTATGCCAAGAATCTGGAATAAAAAGATGACAAGACCTGCCCGTTCCCCATGGGGCATCCCCTGTCAGCTGAGGCAGTAACACCACTTGTGGGGTGTCAAATGAGGACAGGCAAGGGTGCATGTTTCCTTCTGTGTTGGATGAGGCATGATGAAGGTGCTGCATTGACACAATTGCTCTTGCCAGGCTGCATTCAGACATATTTGTTAGAATGGGAAGGGACAGTGACTTCCCCGGGGACTCACACACGCCCCACAGGCTGGAGGGTGTGGTACGCCCAGGCCAATGTCCACTGGGTGTGCCTGTGCAGTGATTAGCAACCTGAGGTCCCAAGAATCTTTGCGAAAACTGCACTTCCCTCCACTGTCATGGCCGCACCTCACAGGTCCGGCTGCCCTGCCCTTGGGCCCTGGCCTCCCATCAGGCCTGTTCTCTGTGTCTTCCAGCTTCCCCCCCAGGCACTGAGGACAGCCTGTGCCCCAGAAGCAGGATGAGAAGATGGCAAACTTCCTGTTACCTCGGGGCACCAGCAGCTTCCGCAGGTTCACAAGAGAGTCCCTGGCGGCCATCGAGAAGCGCATGGCTGAGAAACAAGCCCAAGGCTCGGCCACCTCACAGGAGACCCATGAGGGGCTACCCGAAGAGGAGGCTCCCCAGCCCCAGCTGGACCTGCAGGCCTCCAAAAAGCTACCAGATCTCTATGGCAACCCACCCCGAGAGCTTATTGGGGAGCCCCTGGAGGACCTGGACCCCTTCTACAGCACCCAAAAGGTGACTGTCAATCTCTCCCCATCCCACCCTTCCATGCAGCTCCCTGTATGGCTGCTGAGCAGACCTGGTTTCCTTGGGCGCTGTGTTTGGGGCAGCCCCTCTGGGCTGTGGAGGATGACTCACTGGTCATCTGTATTCCAATCACTTTCACTTTGGAGTTCTAGAATAAAGGACAGGAATTGTGCGGCTTGAGCTGCTAGCTTGATGCTATGAAGGAAAAAGAGGGCAGCCTTCCCTAATGGAGACCTTTGAGAGTTACCTGTGGCTAGATGTTCACCACTGGAGGACTCCTACCTGTCCCGTGTGTGTGTGTGTGTGTGTGTGTGTGTGTGTTTGTGTACATGTGTGCATGTGAATTAGAGTTAAGTTTGGGCCCCAGGAGACAGCATATGGTCTCTTCCACAAACCAGAGACCGCATATGCCACCCCTCCCCAGCAGCACCGAGATCTTGCTAGGCATTGGCTGTGCCTACTGGGGCCACAGCAGCAGCCCCCTGATCCTGTGAACCTGCTGTGGGACCATAAGTCTCACCAGAAACCCTGAGAGAGTGAGGGGCAATAACTGCCAGGTTGCTCTGCTGTTGTCCCTCTTGAGTGTAGGGGAGGAAGTGGCTTTTGTCCACTTTTGGGGTGACTCAGGCTTCCCCCCAGGAGTGAGCTCCCCAGCCTGGATCCCTGCCTGCTCTGGCCTCTTCAGCAGGACCATGGGTCCTGGCCTGCACTGCCAGCTCACAGGTGCACAAGGCCCTGCTGAGGCTCTGTCTCCCTGCATGCTGCCACGCTTGCTGCCACACTCACAAGTCCCCTATGGACGGATTTGAACTTTCCCCAGAAAGGGGGGGTTACCAAGGAGGACAGTGGCTTCTCACATCTCTACAGTCACCCCAGGCTGAGGTCACACTCGGGGAGCATGGGACAAGTGTGATCAGCGTGAGTGTCTGCTTTTATATGAACACGTGGCAAGTGTGAGCAGCGTCTGTGTCACCAAGTGCCTGAGTGTGACTGTGTATGACTATGGTTCAAGAGAGTTTAGAAGCCCAAGAGCCTGTGAATGGCTGTTGTTTACACATGTATATAAACAGGCAGGAGAGGAGCCCTTGAACCTGAACCTGGGCCTGCTCCTAGACTTCCAGGTGAACCTCCCCTGGTTCAGGTGACTCAGGTGGGCTCAAGGTTAGGGAGTGGGGTCAGAGTTCATAGGTTGGAAGCCAGGATTAATCGGAGTGGGTGGGCCTAGGTCATGGTTCGTCAGAGCTGGAGGGGGAATTGGGGTCGAGGTTAAGGCCTCAGCAGGTAGGAATCAAGGTATTATGGTGAGAGGACAGGTGGCAATTAGGTTGGAGTTAGCTGGGACAGGCAGGAGTCACAGCCAAGGGACCTTCCTGAGACTGGTATCAGGGCCGGGCTGGTGTCAGCCTGGGAGGAGTCAGGGATCACCATTTGTTCAGTCCATAAGTCTGGAGATGCTTGAACAGTGGCTCCGGGTCATAGCCACTAACCCCTTGTCTCACACCGGCCACACTGTTAGCAGCCCCTCAGGCTGGTGGACGCACCACAACAGAACTTTTGGCTCTGTCTGTCTGGTCAGCTTGTCTCTCCAGCCCAGATTAAATAGAAGCTTGTCCCACCAGCCCAACCCCTGAAGAAGTGAGATCCCTGGGCAGTACCCACACGTACCTGGGAAGATGGGAAAAGCCTGCTGTCCTCCAGAGCTGCTTTTGGCCTAGGCTCCCAGCTCATGTGCTCATGGTTCAGCCTCCACTACTCGTTATTCACATACCCTAATCAGCTGTGTAGACGGAGATCTCCTAGAAGCCCAGGGTCCACCTTGGGTGGCTCCTGTTCCCAAAGGGTCATGGGTGGGGTAGCCAACTCTCTGGATGGTCTCTTTTTCCTCTGTCGCTCTCCTTCTCACCCTGCCCCTGCCCCTCCCCCTGCCCCTAGCCATGTCTTCACTTCCAAAGGGCCCAGAAGGTGTACAGGGCAGGGCAGTCACCCGAGGGAGAAGGGGCAGGAAGAGGCACCCCTGGGTCTTCTGGGTCTCTGTTGTGATGACAGCTGGGCAAGGACCATGAAAGACCTCTTCTTCTTGGGACTGTAATTCTGAAACTAAATCTCAACCAACCTAGTATTCCCTAAACTAGACCTCACCATGAGCCAAGCAGTGAGGGTCCACTGTACTGCTGAATGTGCTGGCTGCCCCTTCCCACCCCTCTTCAGTGCTCCCCACCCTGCTACCATCCTACAGCTCTGAGTCCACAGCTGACCCTAAAAGCCTCTCTCCACATGGCCGGAGAGCTGCTGCCCTGCCCTGACATCATTCTCTGTCCGCAGACCTTCATCGTACTGAATAAGGGCAAGACCATCTTCCGTTTCAGTGCCACCAAAGCCTTGTACATCCTCAGTCCCTTCCACCCTGTCCGAAGAGCAGCTGTGAAGATTCTGGTTCATTCATATCCTTTGCGGTTCCTCTCTGTCCTGTGTACCTTCTCTGGGGTCCCATACTGAGGATGTGTGAAGAGTGCTGCTCCGCCCATCCAGTCCTGGTGTAGGGCAAGCATGGCCCAGCCTGACTGCTGATTGAAATGTAGAACCTTGACACCCCACACCCCCCTCAACACCCACCCCCCGACCTGCTGAGTCAGCACCTGCAGCTTAACGGGATCCCCAGGGGATTCTTGGGTTCATGAAGGCTTGCGACCCCTCCCTTGACCAACCAGAAGAAAAGCATCCTAAAAGTCAAGTGACTGAGAATCCCAGAGGCCTTTCCCTGGCTCTAAGCATCCCACTGCTGGCACACCACAGGGCCTGCCACCTCCCCACCCACTTGTGGGGACCTTCAGGCAGGTCACCCAGGCTCAACCAAGGAAAAGCCATTTCCCAGTAAAGAGGCCTCCGGCTTCCTCTCACGTGGGGATCTTTCGAGAGAGGCAGCACTTACTCTAGGACTAGGTGTTGACAAAATGTTTGCAGTTTCAGGGCAGCTCAGAGAACTGTGGTTAGCATTAAATTATATAAACCACAGCCCAAAAAGCTGCAGCCTGTGGAGAGAGCTAGTGGAGCAATGCACTGAGATACGGGACCTCGTCAGCCTTGCTGGGCTGGAGGGGGCTGTGCTCAGGCAGAACGTGGGATGGGTGACAGCCCCTCCTCCACCTGTCCTCTGAATGTCGAAGATGGAGCCCTGGGGAAAAGCTGGTGTGGACTGCAGAGGCATTTACACTTGACTCTGAGCACCAGGTTGGCCTTTCCTTTGGCCGCTGGTGACCAGGGGAAGTGCACAAATGCAGGCAGCTCTGCTCTCATCTAAGCAATGCTGCAGGCTCTGCAGTGTGACAGGTTGTGGGGCTGGTGGGCTGGCTGGACAATGCTCCCCAAGGTTCCTTTCAGTCTTCTGCTGTGAAAGGTGAAAGGCCATTCCCCTTGGGAGCACCACAGTCCCCTCTGTGAGATAAGGTAACTACACAAATAGTTGTCATTCCTGCCAGAGTGTGGTCACAGCCTGGTTCGAAGAGCAGAACGCCCAATCAAGCAGCTGGAAGAGGAAAAGCAAGCTCCCCCGCTGGCTCTCTGAGCTGGTCTCCAGCTTTGCTCCAAGGGCGGGGCCTCCCTGAAAGCATCCTCTGGCTCTCACCTGGGGCTTCTCTTCCAGGTATCTAACCAACCCAGAACTGTTTGGCAGCTACAGAAGCCCCCAGGGATGCAGCAGCAATCCCAGGGCTCCTGCCTGCCACTAAGCTGGGCTGCAGGCAGATGAGAGGCCAGGGAAGTTGGTAGGCAAGGGAGGCAGTGGGGGTGCTGGAGTCCTCGACCAGCCCAGAGGGTCTGCTGAGCAGTGGCTCTGGGGATGTGAGGTGCTGGTTCCACCTGGCAGAACTGACCCTCGGGGCTCTGAAGTGGCTGCTTTCCACAGGGTTGCCACCCCAGGAAGTGCTCAGTGTCTGGGAGGCCCTATCCTGGGCTCCTACCGACTGCCTTGAGGTTCCACTCACTGCCTGGGGATGGGAGCAAGTTGTTGACCCTCAAAAGCGCCACCTAGTGGGAAGAAGGGGCAGGATTTGTGGGGTTTGAGAGCAGCCCCTTGTGTCCTTGAGTCTTGACACCTTTCAGGATTTTGTAGGAATTGCCAAGTCTCAGCGGCACCCCAGAACCTGCATGTTAGCAAGGTTCTCATATGCATACTGCTCTCGGGCAAGTTTCCAAGTGTTTCCAAATGTCACCCTGTGAGGGCCACCTCTGTGTCACCTATTTGTTTAACAGGCAAATTCCTTGACCTTTCCAGATTTGAATCGCCAGTGTGAGGTTAGGAATCGACAAGCTCTCCACTCATTTCCTTTTCTTCAAATTGAGATATACTTCACATATCATACAGTGTATCAATTCCAAGTGCACAATTCTGAAGCTTTTAATACATTTGCAAGATTATGCATCCCTTACCCTATCTTTCCATCACCCCAAAAAGCAACCCTGTGCATTTCTAATGAATAGCTAGATCTCATGTTTAGAATTGTGAACTTTCACTCTGCTTAAATTTTTACATTCATTCAAGCATCTGCTAAGTCCCTACATGTGTAAAGTAGGCTCTTTGGAAATGGCAAAGACAAACTTAAAAGGGGACAGGAATCCTGCCTGGCAAGAAAGTCTACTCCCCAATAGCCATCCAGGGGTCCCTGGTAACCATGCAGGGGCCCACAGCAAATGCCCCATCCAGCCATTTTGCTGGGCTCTTTGCTGTGTGCTCATAGTACAGCCTTAAAAATTGCTGCAAATGTACATATGTGCATGTAGATTTATTTTTTATGTATTTCTGTTATAACTCCGCAGAACGTATTCCTGCTGGGATTAAATTAAAGAAACCAACTGAACTCCAAATTCCACAGTGGTCACATTCAGAAAGGGCTCACATTCACTCCAAGAAGCATTTTTCCTTCCTGGGTGGACAGGATCTGCTCACAGAACCCTTCCACCTTCCCCTATCAGACTCAAATGAGCACTCACACTGTGTGTGTGTGCGCAAGTCTGCTTGTGCACACATGCATGTTCATTTAATACCAAAAAGTCGTGAAAGCACCCCCCCATGGTTCATTCCTTTCCCTTGGGAATTTTTGGTTCAGGCATGCCCCTCAGCCTATATGGGCAGTCCTCGCTGGTATTGTAATCACAGGGTGGCAGTGGGTGATTGGGACAATGATACGACAGGATTGAAGACGTCCCGCTGAGCTAAAGCCTGGAGAGCTGGCCTTTGCCTCTCCCCACACAGAGGACCAGCTTGATCATTGGCCTGAAATTAGCAGGCAGTGCAAACAGGTGCACCCTGGCCAGTTTAGTTGACTCATCTGTCTGGTATTGGCTGCATGCTGGGCTCCACGGGGGACCTGGGGAATGCTTTAGGCAGAACCACACGGTCTGAGTAAGAGGTGATCTAATACACACACACACAATGGAGAACAGTCAAAGTGCCATCCTTAAACCAGGGAAGCCAGGCAAAGACTTCGAGCAGTCAAGTGGCAGGAGGAGAGGCTGCCTCACCTCACTCTGAGCCTTTGCTGGCTCGTTGCCCATTGTGGGACCAGGCTGTGAGCCCCTGCTCCTCCCTGGGTCTTAATGTCAGAGCCCTCACTCTGTCTGTCTCCAGCCAAGTGCACTGGTCCAAGGCACCCCATCCACACTGCTGCTTTCTGGAGAGGGGGGCTTTTCTCTAAGGAGTGCTGGAAGAGGTCTGCTCAGTGCAGGTAGGAGCCTGGCTCCACAGAGAGGGGTCTCAGAGGCCCCAGTCCTCACTGCTCCCCTGGGACAACTGGGCTGCTAGAGGAACCCCAGCCAGCCTTTGGTGCCATCTAAAGGCCTCCTCCAGGAAGCCTTCCTGCCCGGTCCAGCCAGAAGTGTTTCCTTCTCATAACTTCCCATCTCAGAGCACTTCAGGGTCAGGCTCTGCTGTCTCTCTGACTCCAACACAGGGCAGGCACTCATGTCCAGGTGAGGTTTGCTCTTAAAAATGGCACACACTTGCATTCCCCTCTTGCATGGCAGTCCCCTTCATTTGGTTTTCATACTGGCCCCATGGATGGCAGGTGAGGAATAACACACCTGCTGGGAGGTGAGGGCCAGAAGCAGTGTAACTCACTCAGACCCTCCAATCAGGAGGCAGGAGAATGGCCCTCATGACCCATGGTATCCTTGTGTAGCAAGGGGCTGGGAGCAAGGCCTGGTCCCCCTGGAGGACAGCTGGGGCTCTAGTTGGCTCTGCCACCCATCAGTTTTATAAACACAGTAGTTTCCTGATGCTGCTGAAACAAGTGACTGCAAACTCCATGGCTGAAAACAACATACATTTATCATCTTACAATGTGGAGCTTCTCACTGGGCTCAAGTCAAGATACCAACAGGGCCATGTTCCCTCTTGTAGGCTCTAGGGCAAGTCTGTTTGCTGGGCTTTTCCATTCCTCAGCTCCCAGTCCTCTTCTCATCTTCAAGCCAGCAATAGCCAGTTGTGTCTTCTAGAATCACAAGGTGCTGACCTTCTGCCTCCTCTTTCTCAAGAACTACATCAGGCCCACTTGGATGATCCAGGGTGCTCTCCCCACCTCAAGGTCCTCCATTCCATCACATCTGTGAAGTCCCTTCTGTCATAGAAATTGACATAGTCAGTTTCCAGGTGCTCAGAACTGGTCATCTTTAGGGGAGTCATTATTTTACCAGTGGTCACATTCCAGTGACCTTCAACTTGACCTCTTTGTGCCTCAGTTTTCTCATTGCTTAAAATGGAAACACCTCAGACGGTTGGTGAGAGGATCACATTAGTTGATGGACACAGCCTGGTTTCCAGGAAGGGCTCGATAAATACCCACTCAGCATTATTACCTGCATATCTCTGGAACCATCTGGGATTCAGATGTCTCTCTGTCCCTTGTGGGGACAAATAAAGGCTGAGGGGCTTGTGAACTGTCACCCTGTGAGGAAAGTCTTGGGGGCATCCTGGGTGTAAAAAACCATGTGTGTGAGAGACAAGGGCCCTGAGATGAGTACCTGACCCGGCCCTGAAAGCTGGAGAGGGAAAGTGGCCTGGCCATGGCAGAGGGCTGGGTAGATACTACACTTAGGAAGGGACTCCAGTGCCTGGAGAGCCACCTTCTGGCCAGGGTGTCCTGAGGGCTTCCAGCCTGGATCTGATCAGGGGATTCCCAAAGCCTGATCGCTTCTCATTGCAGACGGGTGATTGGAGAATTTATTATAAACTGGAGGTGGGTTTGGGAGGCTTCTTTTCTGATTGCCTGGATTCCCCAGAAGGACCAGTGGTGGGAAAGGAATGCACCTGGTTAGATTCCAGGGTAGGGGGCACCCCCTCTCCCCAGCCAGGGCAGTCAACGTTGAGCAAGTGCAGCTTGGCCTGGTCTTGGGTCAGACAGCGCTGGCCTCCCCCCAGGCAAGCAGAGTTGTGCTGGGGAGGGAAGAGGCAGCCTCTGGAGTTCAATTACTGCAGCTCCTGGGCTGCCTATGGGAATTGCCTTTGGGCAGCGGAGAGCTGAGGCTGGGCCATGGGTTTGGGAGCTGGGGCAGCCACAGGGAGTGGGAGGCACAGCCTCTCTTCTCAGCCTGGGGAGGGGACTTGTGAGGGCACCACAGTGTCCCTGTGAAGGGCCAGGCCTCTCAGGTGGCCCAGCCCTTCACAAGGCCCAAGGCCTGCCCCTTCTGCCCCTGAAGGTCTTGCAAAGGTGATGGAGAGGTGGAGGAGGCCAGTCAGAGCTGTGTCCATCCTGGCCAGAGTTAGATAAGCCTAGGCCAGTGCAGTTCAGGGCTGAGGGCCCCCAGGGATGCCCAAGACACAGTCTGGCATTTGAAGAGTACCCCTTCCAGTAGGAGACAGGTGGGCTTTGCCATTCAATGAGCAGCTGAGGCTAAAAGTGCTATGCTGGATGCTCTGGGAGTGTTGATGCCACCACAACCAAGGAGTTGTCAGGCTGCTGGGTGCTGAGGGCTTCCTGCTGAGGGGGTCTTGAAGGGTGCATCTCCTTGGAACCCTTCTCTTATTGATCTGGCAGCCCTGGCCTGGCAGTATTGTCCCCAGGGCCGGGACTCTGTGGTGGTACCTGGCTGGCTCCACACGTATCTTCCTTGACCTCTCACCACGCTCTTCAGCATGCTCATCATGTGCACCATCTTGACCAACTGCGTGTTCATGGCCCAGCATGACCCTCCATCCTGGACCAAATACGTTGAGTAAGTATCTTTAGGGCCTGTCACTGCATTTTCCATCCTATGCTGTGACCCCTAAAGACACCCAAAGAAAGCTGTGTCCAGGTCCAGAAACCAGTAGGTGGCCTTGGTCCTGCCTCTAGTCTCTTTTACCTTTCCCAGTCCTTCCAAGTGCTTGTTTTAAGTTTTGCCCTCAGTGGAAGACCTGATTGGCAGGCACAGAAGGGACTTTCTCCTTGTCCCTATGGCATTGGAGAAGGCTCTGAAATAATAATGGTAATTTACTGAGCACTTAGTTCTTGCCAGGCAATGTCTTGGAACAATAATCATGGCCTCCTCTAACCCTCCAGCAACCCAACAGAGTAGGCACAACCACCATCCCCACTGGACAGAGGAGCAGCTCTGGCCTGATGTCATGCAGGTAGGCAGTGTGGCCACAGAAGCCCAGGGCTGTCCCCATGTCAGTACTGCACTTCGCTGCCTTTTTCCCAAGTCCTGCCTCCCATAACCATTTATACAGTCTTAGAAAATGACTCCTGGTCTTTTCTTCCCAAATGAAAGTACCTCTCCTGCAGGTTCAAAGCCCACTTGACAACCCTTACTGGACTGGGCTCCTGCAGAGGCCAACAGAATGTCTGGCAACCTTTTGTACAGAAATAACTTGCCAAGTTGTTCTCCACATTCACACAAGGCTGGTGGTATGTGAACGGAGCTTCATCTGGCTGCTCTGAAACCTGGGATGTGGTTTTCTCTCATTCCAGCCCTCTTGGCCAATCCCAGAATCCAAGCATTTTTGATTCCCTGGGATGCTCCCAGCAGAACAGCCGCCCATCCAGCCTCACACATTAGAACAAGAGCCCTTCAGGCTGAGGCAGCTGAATCTGCCTCCCCTGTAGGCAGTTAAGGATGCCCCAGTCTCCATTGCTAGTCTCTGAGTACCCACGTGCCTGGGAAGGAGCAATGACTCTGCCTATCCATGGGGAGACCCCGTGGTCACCAAATGCCCATGGACCCCAGGGCTGGGGGAAAACGTAGGTAGGAGTCTTCTCACCCTGACAACTAAGAGAACATGAAGAGTTCACTGGACACATAGGAGGTATGCAGTAAAATAAATGGGAAAATAGACTGTTGAGCCAGATGTTTGGGAGAGAGCTGCAGTCCCCGACTCCAGCTCTACTCTGGGGCAATGCAGAGAGCTGGTGTGATAGCCCCTTGGCATGGGGAGCTACACTGGGCTTGTACCACGTAGGGAGTGTGGTAAGCCTGGCCCATGGGCTTCAGCCTCCCTGCCAACCCCACTGGCCTCTCCTCCCCAGGTACACCTTTACTGCCATCTATACCTTTGAGTCTCTGGTCAAGATTCTGGCTCGAGGCTTCTGCCTGCATGCATTTACCTTCCTCCGGGACCCATGGAACTGGCTGGACTTCAGTGTGATCGTCATGGCGTAAGTATCTTGCTCACGGCATCATGCTGTGCCATGCCAGGCCACACTAAGGGGCAGTTCCCCAAGCCCCAGCCTCCGGGCTTCCTGTTGCAGTCACCTCAGCTCTGCATCCAGGCTATAGAGCACTCGCCTTGCTGCTGTGGCAGAAGGAGGACCAAGTGGTGGCCCTGGTGGGGAAAGGCAGGTCCACATAGCTCAGGTGGCCAACAATGGTCAGGCCCCCTGGTTCATCTGAGCCCATGGCAGCCCTGTGCTCAAGGGACATCACTGAGATTCTGCTTTAGCATCCTCTGCTCTTTCTTCCAAGAGAAACCAATATTACAGCCCCAAATCCCTGGCCTGCTGTGGACAGTGACTTGGATTCCAAGGTGATTAGGAATGAAATTGCAGTAAAGGAGCCTGGAGAAGTGACCAGGCATCCCCCAGGAGCTTGGGACAGGTAGACAGGGGCATCTGCTCTCTCCATTCAGAGGCCCTGTATTCGGCACATTTTAGGGCACCCTGTCCTCCACCCAATCCAGTGGATCTTCACACCAGCCAGAGAGGTTGGCTGCAAGGGGCTACTTAGCCCCATTTTATTGACAAAAAACTGATGCCAAGGGTCCACAGGGAGCCCACTGAAAAGAGAATGTGACCAGGCTTGCTTCGGCCCAGGTGAGGCCTCACTTTCTTTCCTAGGAGCCCTCTTGTAGAGGGCTGTGTTGAGGAGGTGCTCAAACCTGTGTGTGTTGGGGATCATATGCTGGGGTCTGGTGATCAGGGTGGGCCTGTCATGCATTAGTCCTGAGCAGGGCTCGGTTTGGCTCCCATTTTCTGAGGGTCTTGGAATCAATGGATCCACTTGTTCACTGTAGAGCTTTATTTAACCCCAAATGTGAGTAGTCCTGAATTCAGCCATGTTATGGGGAGTGAGGACAAAGAAGGGAAACTGGACTCTCCCAGCGGGGCACGGTCTGACCAGATGGAGAAACTGGTGGTTAGAAAATACATCAGAACCTGTTTCTAGGTACACTGTTTGTGGGCTGACTCTAGGCCTCCATTTTACAGGTGAGGAAACTGAGGTTCAGGGTCACAATAGTCCTTTCCCAAAAGCCAGTGTAGATTTAACTCTGGGTGGAGCTGAGTGGGCAGGGAAAGAAGGTTAGCAGGTGAAGTTGCAAAGTGGTAGGGTGGGGGACAAATCATGCCGTTGTCACAGGTCATGCTAAGAGCCAGCTGTGATGGGAGCCACTGGGGGATGCCAGCAGGCAGAACTGTGGCCCAATTTACATCCTGTAGAGAGAGGCCTCCCTGAGGCTGGGAGGAGGGGAATTGTGGAGGCAGACAGCAGCCAGGAGGCTATTTTGGTAGCCAGGAGAGAGACGGTAGAGGCTAGAACCAGGGTCCAAGTGGAAAAGAGGAGACCTGATCCAAAACTGGGTGTGTTTTGCAGGTAGGGCTGCTGGTTTTTGTTTGGAACAGCTGAATAAACGGTGTTAGCATTTGATGAAATGGAGAACTGGAGAGAGACCCTGACTGGGGGCAGAAGGGAATCAGAAGTCTTCTTTGGAATGTATTGGGTTTGGAAGTGTCCAGGACGAGATACTGAGAGGGCAGCTGGATATGCCAGTCTGGAGTTCAGGAAAGAAGTCCAAGGTAGAGGTGCAATTAGAAGCCATGGGGACACAGATGGTAGCTAGAACCAGATACCAGGTGAGTGCATATGGCCAAGGACACCCCAACATCTCAAGGTTAGGAAAGAAGAGGCGGAAGGTCTGAACGAAGGAGACTGGAGGTAACTGGCCAGTGGGGGGTGGGGGTGGTTAGGAGATTGATATCCAAAAAGCCGACTGAGGAATGATTCAACTTAAAACATACCAGGAAGAAATTAAGAAAGGTGAAGACTAACGATGGACTGTTGGATTTGGAGAGGTCACTATTGCCCTTGACATGAGAGCTTTCAAAGCAGTGGGAGGATACGCACCTGGTTAGAGAGGGTTGCATAAAATGTGGATCAAGGGAAGACGTTAGAAGAAGGGATGCTGATGGAAATCGTGTGGAAGAGAGGGGACGTTGGAAGATGTAGATGAGCAGGGGTGGGGCAGGGTGCAGGAATAAAGCTCAAGCCTCCCAAGGGAGTGGGGATCCAATGCCAAGGAGGAGCGCCGACCTTCAGCACAGAGAGGACAGAATTTCTGGTGGAGATGGAGGTAGATTGATAGAGTTGATGATGAGAGAAGAAGGAATTTCTCTTCTGATTGCTTCTATTTTCTCTGTGACATAAGAAGCGAGATCATCAGTGAGGGCAGAGTGGGGAGGCATGTCTAAGGTTTGAGGGGGACATGCTAGAGCGGGAAATTGCACTGACTTAGGAATGGAGAACAGTTGTCAGGCTGGCTTCAGCTCAGAAGTATCCTTCACAGGTTCTGGAGGGCCAGATGGCAGAGAACCAAGGGGGCTTCAGGCAGGAGCGGGGACAGCATCTGCCTGAGCCTTTCCTACTTCCGCATCCTGGTGCTGCAGCAAGAACAAGAGATTGTCGTAAGCCAGGCTTTGGTCTGAGCTCAGCCTGTCCCTCTGGGAGAGCTCTGTGTGACCTCAGCCCTGTCTTCTGGGAAAATCCCGGTTTTGTTCCCAGTGGGATCCCACAGGGAACCACTTCCGCTCAGAATCACAGAGCAGGTGTGCCTTCCTCGTCAAACTCTGTTCACCTCCACTCTGTCTCAGAACCAGGTGTGACAAAGCAGAACAGGACCTCGGTGGCTCAGATAATCATCACATTTCCAAGCATCTCACAGAAATAGCACAATCACTTTCTGTAGGGCTGCACGGACCCACTGGAATGTCAGCTTTGTGCGCTTGGTGGACCAACCCTGCAGCTCTGACTGCCAGGGATTCTGCCTTATGAAAGCCAGTTAATTACTGACCCCCAAAATGCCTTCTGCTGTAGATGAAATGGTTCAATAACCTGGGGCTTCTAAGATGATCAGCAGAGTCTTGGATAGCAGAAAAGTTCAATTCAGTGAAATTCCCCATCTATCCTCCATTATACAGATGGAGAAACTGAGGCTCAGAGAGTCCCAGCCACCTGCCCAAAATTATAAAATGAATCAGCAGCAATCCTGGAACTAAAACCAAAGAACTTAACTTGTAGCCATGGTCTGGCTGGGAGAGGCATCCCGAATCTGATGCTCCTGGCCAGGTTTGGACCTGACGCCTCAGCCCACCGATTTAGACATCGTGGCTGGAGTTCCCTGGTGTCTGCCAAGCTCAGCTTGCAGCCCTCCAGCCAGAGCTCTTCCTGAGGCCCCCCTCTCAGCTGGGCATTACCTGCTAGTTAGCACAGCCTCCCACCTTCTAGGGTTGTTATGGAAACCAAACCTGGAGGGGAAGGAGGGAGGGCAGAGAGGAGGGGTGGCAGTCACCACCACAGCTAACGATGTGGGCTTCACCATCAGGGATAAGGGTAGAGCTGGAAGAAGGCCAGTATCCTCCCTTCCTCATGGTTTCTTGGTCTCCACAAAGCCCCCCCCCCCGCCCCATGCTGGACCAATGTGACACAGTGCACTTCTCACCCCCCAACCCCTGCTCCTTCTGTGGCAGGGCCCATGGTTCCACTCCAGCTGCTGCCTCTGGCCAGCTGCTTGCCCATAGCAAATCAGTGGGCTGACTTGGAAGAGCATTTTGCAGCCTAAACCTGGCCTTGTGCCATATAGAAGATCACTTCTGTCCTGCCACTTTCAGGGTCCCCAAGAGAGGCCCCAGTGTGAGCCTAGGGTCTTAGGGTACAACACAGCCAGATGCCAAGTACTGGACAGTGTGAAACAGCCAGTAGCCCCATGAGTTCCAGACATGATGGTCCCAGCCCCAGCCCCGTCTCCTCCTTTGAAAACTTCCTCCAAGCCATAACTGCTCTCCATACAAACACAAGCATCAGCCCTACCCCTGCTCTCCATACAAACACAAGCATCAGCCCTACCCCTGTTCCCAGCCACTTGCTGGTGTTGCAGGCCTGCCAAGAGCTCAGACACGACCCTCCCTATTTGGTCACTAGCCTGTCCTTGTCACCTGGAGATCCTAGCTTCTCTGTGCCTGCAAGACCTGTGGAGGAAGCAGGTGGTGAGTAGAGAGGACCCTGAAGCGGGAGCAGGCAAGGACAGGCAGTCTATAAGACCAGGTCCATAAGGCACAGGAGAAGAGAAGCAAATATAGTTGGTTCCTTCTCTGACCAGCATGGTGCTACACTCACTCCCTGCAATCAGAAGAGACAGCCTTAAATCCAGTGTCCTGGGAGAGGGTGTTATCCCAGGCCACACCTTCTAGACCAGCAGCCAGGAAGGAGACCCAGAGCCTCTAAAGGGGTAGAACCATGGCTTCCATGTGATGGCAATGTGGCAGTGTTCCAGGCTCACCCTCACAGTCTGGACAGAGACCACAGGAGTGTGGGACCAAGGCCTGTGGCTATGAGCCTCCGAGGGAAATGGAGTTGCTATGAAAAGTTAAGAAGGAGCTTGTGTAAATTAACAGGTGCACATAGGCCAGCACAAGGGAAGTGACTTCTGCTTGCCACATCATGATAAGGTGCATCTGACTGCTGCGTCAGACTTTGCAAGCTGAAGTGCATCCAGGGAGTAGAATGGAAACCACACCACAGAAAGGGTTGGGTGTAGCCGGGGACTATCTGCCACTGCCCATCTCTGCAGGGCTATGTGAGTAAGGAAGGGAGCAGCCCCGTTGCAGGTCCCTGTGGGGACAGATGGGCCCACAAGTGGAAGAGAACACTGGTGTCAGAGCTGGACCGGGCTGGACCTGCTGACCCTGGGACACTGAGTCCCTCGACAGCCTGCTGAGACCTTTCCTGTAGTCACCTACGGCCCAGAGAGGAATTCAGATGCTCTGAGCAGAGCAGAGGGTTCTGGAGGTCTAGGCCACGTGGCAGAGTAAGTGTGGCTGTCCTGCCTGCCACACTCTCAACACTTGCCCAGCTCTGCAGGGCTGGCATTGCAGCCTGACATCCCTCAGACACCTGGCTCAGACACACTTGGTTCAACACCAGACATCCTGAGTTCGTCATCCTTTGTTAACATTGAATACCTTCAGTGAAATGTCAGACACCCTGCATGCGAGGTCTTTGGTTAAATATCACAGGTCATTAGCCACTGCCCCAGTGGCCTCAGTCACACACGGTCCACCCACCTCTCACACATCCTTGTGGTCATGTGGCCTGTCTACTGCATGTCCTCACACTCTGCATGGCCAGGTCCCTGGCCCCCAGAGACCAATGCCTCCTGTGCCTGTGAAAGCCAGAGATGGACGAGCACCCAGGCACTAGATGAGTGCCCCACAGCCACTTGGCCCTGCCAGGCGTCACTCAGATCTGTGCAGAACAGACCCCCAGGAGGGCTGCTCACCTCCTGAGGTCAGTGTATCCCTTGAGGACACCAGGACCCAACCATGAGTCTGTGGGCTTGTGGGGGAGGGGCCTCTTATCTGCTCCTTTCTCTTCGGTTGGCATTGCCCATGAGAAGTTGAGGAACCCTCCCTTCCCATCTTCAGATGCTTGTATCTTGGGGACTACTCATGCCACCTCCAGCTTGTGACTTCAGGGTCTCCTGACCAGTCCTGCACAGGGAGGAACAAGTGGGCTGCCCTCAGAGACCCAGTCACTCCTCTAGTGGTCTTCAGACTCCCCTGGGAGCCTCAGGAAGAAATCCTCCTTGATAGATGTTGGCAGCTGTACCTGAACAGTCTTCTGAGCCCACATGATCTCACAAGAAACAGAAGAGGCAGAGCAAAACTAGCATCAGAAAACAATTCGCTTCCAACCTCACCTCCTGGAAAGCAGAGTTCCTGTCTTCACTCCAATGTGTCCCAAGCCTCAGACCTTGTCGCATGCTTTGTGTCTCACAGACTTGGAGAAGGTGGCAGAGTAGTTGCCTGCTAGCACTGGGTTTTCACGGGATGATCACAGAAAGAGACATCTGGAGGTTTGCTATGTGGATATACTTAAGGATATGTTGAGGTCCCACGTCAGCAGGATCATGATCAGGAAGAAAGCCCAGGGAAGGGTCCAGGCTCTCCACAGCCCACCGTGGGTCAGGGAGAAGGGAGAGGGCTGGCTGGGGAGGGCAGGCTGAGCTTCTGCTTTGTAATTCCCAATAACTGTGGTTTGATTCTGCAGGTATGTATCAGAAAATATAAAGCTAGGCAATTTGTCGGCTCTTCGAACTTTCAGAGTCCTGAGAGCTCTAAAAACTATTTCAGTTATCCCAGGTAAGATGTCCAGGTTTGCCTCTCAGATCTCAGCTACAAGTGATTCTTTCTCTGTGTCCCCCACCCCTCTCCTCCTCTGACCTTGTGTCTCCTATTGCCGTGTTGTCACTGTCTCGTGTGTGAATTTCCCTTGTTACAGATACACAACTGAATTTGTGGACCTGGGCAATGTCTCAGCCTTACGCACCTTCCGAGTCCTCCGGGCCTTGAAAACTATATCAGTCATTTCAGGTGAAAATCAGGTTAAACGCCAAGGCTGGAGGAACATGCCTGGGCCTTTCCAGCCACCTGGGAACCAAGGCCAACCCCAGGAAGCCCTCTGAATGTGCCTGTCACCAGAATACCTTTCCTAGAGCTCAGGATGGTGGGTGCTTCTGCCTTGCAGAGCCGCAGAATGGGCTTCAGGCTGCCCATCCAGCCAAGCCTATTCTCAGACACCAGTGGGCACAGAGCACCCATGACACGGTCTGCATTGAACCCAAATTCTTCCCAAAATAGTGAAGTTCTTTTGCAGCTGGACACAATTGCTTGCACAGTTAAAAGTCTGGTCATGCATTGCTTTAGCATGCAGTGATGTTCTTTGGTCAGGAAACCAAAGAAGACCATATTTGAGGGAGCACACATACACTCAGATCTAAAAAGAAAACTCCAGCACAGTCTTTTATGACCGAGTGCCCTGTGCCAGCCTTGTGCCCCTCTGGGGATGTGTGTACAGCAGATTCTCAGTCCTCTTCTGCAGAACGGAGTGTACTCTGTGGACAGGCGTCATTGGGCCTTGGCGTCTAACAGTCCTCACTGCATGGTGCGGTAGAGGTTTAGCAAACCGTGCATGGTAGCCTCAGGAAGAAATCCTCCTTGACAGATGTTGGCAGCTGTACCTGGGTGATCTTCTGAGCCCACATTGCCTCAGTGGAAACCATTCCACTCATCCATCCAGGAAGACTCTCACGACTCCAGAAGACCTCAGAGCCCTGTTGTGTGAGGTACTGGGTCTGAAGTCGAGTGTGGCACCCAGCACACTTGGCATGCATCTTCAGTCAGCCTCCCCAGATTAAAGTGATCTGAAGCCTCAGGGTCCCTGTTCTGAGGAACTTGCCCAGGAAGGACAGTGCCCACAGGCTCCTTCATGAAATGAGCCATACTTGCAATTGGAGAAGGCACTTCAGTTAAGGCAGCTAAAACAGGTTTCAGGAGGGTGTCGGAACCAGGGGAAGGGTTCACTGAATTGACTCCTGATGGGGGAGCTGGTTGTTCTATGGCAGGACTATGCCCTGCACTTGGCTGTTGTCACTCCTGGGGAGTCAGGAATCCTGCTCTGAGCTCCCAGGAGAAATGCAGGCCTCCTCTGGCTGGGTTAGTTATTTCTTAAGTGGAGCCCCTAACTATTTTGCACTCAAACCCAGTCTCAGAGTGATCTTCCTGGGCTCTGAACCCACCACGTTATGTGTACAGAGGTCCCTTCCTCCCAGAGCCCCTCACAAGTAGCCTAGACCCCCACCAAGAGGGGCCAGTGGGGCTGTCAGCCTTCAGCCACTTCCTCAAAGCTACTGCCCTTAGGTGTCAACTGGCCTTGTTCAGAGCCCTCACAGTGTGTCCTCCAGGGTCCCAGGGACAGCCTCTAGGGCACCCCCACCCCAAGAGATAAACACACTGACCACAGCAGTTACAAGAAGGCCTATTCTGTTTCCCACAAGATAGAGGCCAGAGAGCAGCCTGATGTGTGCCCCAGGGACCCCTAGCAGTTACCACCACCTAGCAGCAAATCACACCACCAATAACAACCCCCTCTGTGCCCAGACACCTGCCAGGCCCACCCACTGCCCCAGCAATTGCCAACATCTGCCAGGATGATTTCCACAAAGAGCTGAGTCTGAGCCCTGGGCAGCAGCAGTGGTTGTGACATGGTGAGGAGGCCGTCTGCTCCTCATCCCGTGTCTGCCCATCTCTGCCTTCCCGTTTCTGCACTGCGGGCACAGTAGCCACAGGTGCTCCTCACACATTAACCGGCTGGACGATGGATGGTTGGAGCTTAATCTGAGATCTAGCCGCTTGGGGGATGGGGCGAAGCCCTGCTACCGGCAGAGGAGCCCCTCAATCCCGCTGCTTCGATGCTCTGCTCGCACTTGTCCTAGGACAGTAGTTACGAGTCACACTGGATGTGTCTACATGTGCTTTTCTGTCACCCTGCTGTGGGCTGCTAGCTTCCGCAGGGAGCTGGGCTATGCAACTAACAGACTATAGCCTCTCAGCTTTGGAGAATGGGGTGGGGGGTGGGGTGGTCCCAGAGGCAGAGAACAAATGAGGAAGAAGCTGTACAAGTCAACCCCTTTCCTCCAAGCTAGAGCAGGCCCCTTAAGACATCACCCACATAGCCCTGCGAAGCTCTCCCTCAGGTCCCTAGCACACACAGCCCCAGACCAACCCCAGACCCTGGGTCCCTTAGTTTCCTCCAAATAGTCAAAACTCCTTGTGTCACCAAAGAGACCATCCCCTACCAGTGAGGCAGAAGGACCCACTACCAGGAAGAGCCATGTCTCTGCCCATGTCAGGATCAAGGCTGAGACCTCTGCATCGACCTGGAATGAACCTGGGGGAGGAGTCTCCTTTCCCATGGGCTACATTGAAAGTCTGGGCCTGGCATAACTTGGGACCAGCCAGGTAGGGACCACTTTGTGTGTGTTTCCTCAAGAAAACAGCACTTTCTATAGCATTTCTACATTGGCTGGAGGTGGGTAAAGAGGACCAGACCCCTTCAGAAATGCAAAGCCGGGCTGGACTTCTAGCCAGGGTATCAGCACAAGCTCAGCAGCTGAGGAAAGAGGGGCTTTGATCCTAAAGGCCAAAAAAGCCTCCACGACTCTGGCCCGGTCTCCTGGTTGCTGTCACAGGCCCCACCCTAGCTCAGCACAGGACACCTGGGAGATACAGTGGTGACACCAGGTGACCCATAAGAGCTTGCACCAGGGAGCCTGTGGGTGACCCCATGTCCACTCTTGCCTTCACCAGGCCTGAAGACAATCGTGGGGGCCCTGATCCAGTCTGTGAAGAAGCTGGCAGACGTGATGGTCCTCACCGTCTTCTGCCTCAGTGTCTTCGCTCTCATTGGCCTGCAGCTCTTCATGGGCAACCTAAGGCACAAGTGTGTGCGCAACTTCACAGCGCTCAATGACACCAATGGCTCTGTGGAGGCCGAAGGCCTGGTCTGGGAGTCACTGGACCTCTACCTCAATGATCCAGGTGCGGACTCACTCTGTAGCCGGGGAGGGCTCTGTGACACCACCGGGGTTGGACACTGTCCGCCTCGGCTTCGGAGGCTACCCCAGCCCTATTCAGTCCACAGCTATGCGTGCAGGCATCTGAGAGCCAGCTGGAAGACTGGAGTAGAGCAGACTTCAGGGCCAGGTGGAGACACCATATTTGAAGCACAGGAAGGATGGAGTTAGATGGCAGGGTAGCATTCAGAGGTGGGGCCAGCCAAGAGTGCTGGCCCGGGGAAGAGACCAGGCTGCCTACAGAGGAGCAGCAGTCAGGGAGAGGGTGTGACATGGTGCTGGGGTCCCAGGGAGGCTGTAGAATAGAGCCCTTCCCTTTGGCATGGTGGTTTCCTATTTGACATCAGTGTTCTTGCCAGGATGCTAATTCCATATATGTGTGCCCCAGAACCCTGTGAGAGGGTTGGGACATACGAGATGTGCAGCCTGTGAGCTCCTCATCTCACTGCATGGCTTACACCTCCATTCTCCAGGTTGATACCCAGCACCTCTCTTATTAGCACCATCAATCTAGATCGAAGGTAGACACTGGGGCAAGCCAGATGCCAGGCTACAAGACCCAGAGGGCCATTCTGAAATCAGGCCTCTTATGTACACCAGCACTCTGCCCTGCAAAATAGAAGCAGACAGAAGATCAATGAGAGAGCGCGCTTGTGATTTAGCTGTGGCCTTGTAGCAATGGCTTTAAAACTTCACTGTGCCCCGGAGCCACCTGAAGGGCCCCAGAAACAGACTGTGAGGGCCCAGGCCCAGCTCCTGCATCTGTAGGTCTGGCTGGCACTCAGGAAGCTGTATTTCTAACCAGTTCCCGATGCCACTGATGCTGCTGGTTGAAGGGCCACACTTTGAGAACAAAGGCAGGTGATGGTGAATAATGATGGGAACTGGCAGCAGCACCAGAGAAGAAAGGACAGAGCAGGTATCCCTTGTCTCACCTGGTCCAGTCCTGGCCCCATCTGAACAGAGCACTGTTGCCATGGTGATTGTGGCACGCGTCACCTGAACCATTTTATGTAATAGAAGTGAGTCCAGAGCTGGGCAGTAGCCCGCCAAGGCCATGCAGTGACTCAGCAGCCAAGCTGGAACTCTGCCCAGACCCTTGCCTCCTGGCTTGGCTTTTCTCTTGGCCTTGGCTGCCCCCCTGAGTGGTTTGGGGCAGGGTGTGGAAGCTTCCTATAGGGACAGCTGAGGCAGGACTTCCTGTGTCTTCTGAGTGTGGGGGACACTGGCAGCAGAGTGTCTGTGGAGGAGCAGGAGGAAGCCCAGGAAGAAGCCAGAGTAACTGAGGCCTATCTAGGCAAAGGGCAGGGTCAGGGCAGGGGCTAGGAAGAGGCAAGCAACCACCTGCAATGCCTCCACCTCTTCAAAGCCCTGGATGTAGAGGGGGAACCCTAGGAAGCTGGGCCACATGTGCCTCTCAAGAGAATCCAATGTTTCTCTTACAGTTAATTACCTGCTCAAGAATGGCACCTCTGACGTGCTACTGTGTGGGAACAGCTCGGATGCCGGGTAAGTGCACCCACACGAGGGACACCGCTCCCAGCTATCCCTGGGTGTTTTCTTGGCTGGCTGTACTTTCTCTTTGTGGCCCAGCCCTAGGGACAGTGAGGCCTCCCTGTCTTTCTTCCTGCCAGCACCCTGGCAGCTCCCCCACCCTATAGAGGACACAGTGGTAAAAAAAAGGTCAGAGAAAGATCAGCAGAGAGGGCCAGCAGAGCCCTGAAGATGGGCAGGTCTAGGCCCCAGCAAGGGTGCCCTGCAGGGCCCTGCCAGGCCACCACTGGCTCAATTCTTTGCCGGTATCTCCCCAGGGCTGCACCCTTCCACTCCAGCCTCTGCCCCTCCCCCAACAGCCTAGACGCTTCTCAAGCCAAGCAGAATAGGACCTGCAGCCTGACTGTGGTCCCTGACATGTGCAGTTTCCAGGGCTTTGTGCAGGGTGACTGTGCTGTGTGTTGTTAAGTGGCGGGGCATGGACTCACCGTGGGCGAAGGGTATTGTGGAGTTCTGTTCCCACATTTCTGGGTATGAAGTTCCAGAGCCCGTTTGCTGCCTCCTTCCTGTTGCTGAAGATTGACTGGAGGGTCTTAGGGCATTAGAAGGGAAAGAGGCCCCTCAGCCACATTCTCCTACTTGTCAAGTGCCCCTCACACACACACACCTCCAGTTCCGCAAGCAATGGCTCTATATGGTGGTGCAGATGGACATACTCTCCAGACGTGTCGCTGGCAGGATCATCCCACTACCCATGGCCCCACCCAGGAGCATGTGCCAGACCTGGGCACTTCCTCTCTGTGGGGTGAAACAGCTCAGACAGTGGCTGAGTGTGTTCTGGAGGAGCTGGACACAGGCCTTAGAGGATATAAGGAGGGAGAGAAAAGAGGAAGATGGAGTCTTGAAACCCAGGCCTGGAGACAGGACCCAGCAGTGGGGCATATGCTAGGCTACCCAGGGAGACAAGCCAGGCCCAGTGGAGGCCCAAGAACAGAGGACTCCATATAGCATGGGCTAGAGTGTGAATGTCTGGCCACAGGACATGTCCCGAGGGCTACCGATGCCTAAAGGCAGGTGAGAACCCTGACCATGGCTACACCAGCTTCGACTCCTTCGCCTGGGCCTTCCTCGCACTCTTCCGCCTGATGACACAGGACTGCTGGGAACGCCTCTACCAGCAGGTATGTGGGTGCCCAGGCAAGCAGAGGGATGCCAGGCATGGGCTCAGGGTCCAGGTTCACAGGTGACTCACCAGATGTGGTCCCAGCAGCTCCCCACTGGTGAGAGCTGTGTGAGGAATGGGGGCCAGAGGCTCTTGCATTTGAGAGAGAGGAGTTAACAAGAAACTTCCTTTCCTGGTGACCATGTGTCCGTCCTTTCATGTAGGAAGCTCTCTGCTCTGTGAGTGGGACAGTCCTTCATCCCACAGGATAGAATGTGCTCCTCTGTGGGCACAACATGCTCCCCGGCTAGGTGGGACTCTGTCTGTGAGCCCATACCTGGCATGCTCTGTGCCCCTGGCCAGACTTGGGTCTGGCACTGCCACACTGGTGACTTGGAGATGCCACAACCCATAGGGACCCAGGGAAGATGACCTCTGCCTCCTTGCCCCTCCAGACCCTGAGGTCCGCAGGGAAGATCTACATGATATTTTTCATGCTTGTCATCTTTCTGGGCTCCTTCTACCTGGTGAACCTGATCCTGGCTGTGGTCGCCATGGCCTACGAGGAACAAAACCAAGCCACTATTGCAGAGACCGAGGAGAAGGAAAAGCGCTTCCAGGAGGCCATGGAGATGCTCAAGAAAGAGCATGAGGTAGGTGAACAGCATAGACAAGGAGCCTCCAGGCCAACCCCTCTTCTGACTATGGGTGCCTGGAGGTATGGTGCATGTAGAGTAAAGCCAGTGAGTGGTGCATGCTGGGTAAAGATGCTGTCTTCTGTATTTCCTATGAATATGGTGTCTGCTGGGTAAAAATTTAGAATCCTCTGGCTAAAGACGTTGCCTGTCAGTGAGGTCTCTGTTGGTAAAAGTAGGGTAAGGTGGGCTCACGTGGGCCCTTGAGTGTGGTGATGCAGGGTAAAGTTGTTCCCTGTGATCCTCGTGTCTTCCAGGTGAAAGTGGTGCCAACTGGGTAAGAATGTCACATGCTGGGTGAGGGTGGGAACTCCTGGGTGAAGGTAGTCCTTGTGAGCATATGCTGGACAAGAGACATCCGTGTGTCCATGGATACAGTTTATCCTGGTCAAGGGATCATCCCTTCTGGCACAGTAGTAAGGAAGCTCCTGGGTCAGAGACCTGAGCCAACTCAGAAAAGAGACACTGGCAATGCTGCCCTGGCCACCCACAGCCCCTGAGGCCATTACAGAGCCAGCAATCAGAAGCCAGACTGTAGACATCCACTGGTTCTTCCCGCTGTCCCGTGCCACCTGCTCCAGTACCTTCTGCCCAGCTGAACCTTTAGTTCTGCTATCTCGCCTGCTCATCAACTCCCTCTCCCACTGTCTCACACACTCCTCTCTTCCAAGAGCTGCCCACTTTAGTCACTCTTTTCCCTCCAGAATCTTGATCTTTCTCAAAATAGGATTCTGTCTAAGATTATCTCCATGATGCCCTCATTTTGAATTATGTGCAAGTCCACTTACCAGTAGGTTAATCCAGACCACTGGGAGGGGCCTGGCCTGCCTAATCTCTCAGTGATTGAGACATTTCTTCTACCCTCTTCTAGGCCCTCACCATCAGGGGTGTGGATACTGTGTCCCGTAGCTCCTTGGAGATGTCCCCTCTGGCCCCAGTAACCAACCACGAGAGAAGAAGCAAGAGGAGAAAACGAATGTCTTCAGGAACAGAAGAGTGTGGAGATGAACGGTTTCCCAAGTCTGACTCAGAAGATGGTCCCAGAGCAATGGTAATCCCCAGACATGGTCCTGGCTTTCTCAAGGTGGGTCTGGCATACTCAGCCCATCATGCCAGGCCCCTGGTACAGTAAGAGCCCTGAAGGTTCCTCTCCAAGGAAGGCATCCTTGAGCCCCTCCCAACTCCTCCTGTTTCCCATATTTTCTTGGAGTGGAGGAGGGTCAGGATGGGTTTCGGTGTCATAGCCCTGAGCTAGCCCACAGAATGGGGATTGGAGCCAGGGACACCCCATGAGCCCCAGAACATGCCCATGTGAGTCCAGGGGATGGCTGAGTACTCCAGATGCTACTTGGGCCAGACTCATCTACGACGTCAGGGGCCGTCCCTCCCCCTCTCCAGCCCAGCCTCAGCACCTAGATAACTTAAGGGTCAAAGCCCCAGAGGCATAGATTTGAGATGCCAGAAGATGCAGGATACCCCTGCCACCCACCCTCTGGCTCACCCCACTCAGTTCCTGTGTGACTAGCAGAGGCCCTCAATGCTCCAAGAGGCTGAGTTGGGCCTAAAGCCACATGGTCATACCGCCCCTCCCTGTGCCCTCAGAATCACCTCAGCCTCAGCAGGACTTCAGTGAAGCCTCGCTCCAGCCGAGGGAGCATTTTCACCTTTCGCCGTCGAGACCTGGGGTCCGAGACCGACTTTGCAGATGATGAGAACAGCACAGCAGGGGACAGTGAGAGCCACCGCACATCACTGCTGGTGCCCTGGCCCCTGCGCCGGCCCAGTGCCCAGGGGCAGCCCAGTCCCGGGGCCTCTGCTCCAAGCCATGTCCTCAACGGCAAAAGAAACAGCACCGTGGACTGCAATGGGGTGGTCTCCTTGCTGGGGGCAGGTGACACTGAGGCCATGTCCCCAGGGAGCCGCCTCCTCCGCCCCATGATGCTGGAGCGACCCCCAGACACGGTGAGCCAGCCCTGAGGTGCAGGTGCCAGGGTAGATCCAGGCTCCCTACCTGGCTGTCAGTGCCAGGCCCGGAAATACTCACCAGATAATTGAGGACCTATTGTGTGCTGCACTTCCAACAAGCCTCGGCCTTGTAGAGCTTCCATGCTAATGGAGGCAGAGAAACAAAAACCAGGAAAGAAGAAACAGTATGTGTGTAGAGGTGTATGAGGTGTGCGATGGGGATAATTGGGTTGATGGCTAAAGGTTCCCCGCTGCGGAGGCCCAGGCACTGAGATGCCCTGGTAACAGCATCGAGTGTCCCCAAGGGCCTGTGCTGTGCAGGGTCATGGGCAGCAACCCAGGGGGCTTGGGAGAAGGTGCCGGAGCATTGAGGGGATGTGAAGGAGTCCAGCCACAACTCACCAAGTTAGAAATACGCCAGCACTTTACCCACTGGTAACTCGATATCAGCCCAAGTAAGTTCCATGGGGGTGGGAGCAAGAAAAAGGAGAGAAGGACTCCCCACGAGTTAGAAGAAATGTGAACAAAGATAGAAGGAGAATAGGAGCCAGGCTGCTTTCTGAAACTAGGAGGGGTAGTGTACCTCAGCCTCTTGTCTGTAAATTGGGTGAAAAATAACCATCTCGGGACTATGGCAAGGATGGAGTGGCCTCATCTGGGTAAGGCGCTGAGGACATGCACGAATGTGTCAGTGTTGTTAAAGCAGCCTAGCGACGTCCCATCACTACCATCATCGAGGAGCTTGTTCTGGATGTAGAGAAAAGCAAAAACATGCCTAGCCTTTGGCTTGGTTTGGCTTAGTTTTTTTTTTTAATAACTTTATTATCAAACACACACACATACAAAAATTAAAACCATTCAAAGAAGAACAATGCAAGGGAAAAAAATACAATAATATTCAAATACAGTACAACTCAACCAAAACAAAACTGAGAAGCACTTAAACATTTTTCCATATAACTGAAAAAAATCTCAAGCACCAACAAGACACCAGAGGATGTGATTTGTTTCAGAAAGATCCCCAAAACCATCATTGAACAAATAGTGGTCTGGAAAAAACTCCAGTTAGTTAGCAGACTCCACATAAGCTAAGCTTCTCCCTAATTTAAATTTCGATACAGTCATATGATACGCCATGGAAACACAATCTGAGAAATATGTTATTAGGCAATTTCATCCATGTGTATCCTTATTTACACTCTCAGTTTCTCACACTAGAGAAACTATTCGGTATTTACACATGTTGTGTCCTATTTTTTTCACTTAAGAGTATGGCCTCAGTATGCATCCATTTAGCTATAAATGTCTCTAGTTTCGCATTCTTTATGGATGAGTAGTACTCCATTTTATTAAAAAACCACATCTTCTTTATCCAGTTTCCAGTTAATGGGCACTTGGGCTGTTTCCAAGCTTTTGCTATTGCAAACTGTGCCACTATAAACATGGGTGCACATATATCGTTGTGGTATGATTCTTTTAATTCTTTTGTGAAGATACCCAGCAGGGGAATAGCTGGGTCAAATGGGATCTCTAGTCCTAGTTCTTTGAGGTATCTCCGTACTGCTTTCCACAGTGGTTGCACCAGTCTGCACTCCCACCAACTATGGAGAAGGGTTCCTTTCTCCCCACACCCCTGCCAGCATTTGTTACTGGATGATTTCTTAATAGCAGCCATTCTTTCTGGGATGAGGTGGAATCTCAGCATTGTTTTCATCTGCATCTCTTCAATAACAAGTGATGTTGAACATTTTTTCATATATTTATTTGTTGCTTTTACTTCTTTGAGAAATGTCTGTTCATTTCAGATGTCCATTTTTGAACTGGGTCTTTGAATTGGTTTGGTTTTTTGAGACAGGGCCTCACCATGTAGCCCAGGCTGACCTCAAGCTCTTGATCCTTCTGCCTCAATCTCCTGAATGCTGGAATTATAGGCTTGTGCCACCACGCCCAGCATTACTTGGATTTCTGAGCCATACGGTCAGTGTGGCTAGAACAGAGAGAGCGAAGGAGTAGTCAGAGTTAGTGTCAGAAAGGCGATGGAGAGGGACTGCCTCGCTTATGAAAGGCCAACCAGAGCTTTGGCACCCAGTAGATGGGTAAAGACCAAAGACTGTCCATTGACTGTCGAGTGACCTTGCTGACCCTGACCCAACACCACACCAGAGCAGCACCCCCAGGAGAAAGTTGAGCTCGGGAGGCAGGCAGCTTCTGAGGAGCCGGCAGCTTAGTCAGGCAGCCAGAGTGCATGCCCTCCAGTGTCCCCGCCAGCTCAGTGTAGCTGTGGGACTCTGTACAGGTTACTCAACCTCAGTTTTCTCATCTATAAAGTGAAAGTAAAATTAATATATCAGCAGGCTGTGGTAAGGACCAGGTGAGTTAAAACAGTCTAGTACTGAGGCCAGAACTTGCCTTAGGTTCAAGTGTTGAGCTGTTGTTGATGTTGTTGAGGACAGACTTCTCGGGTTCAGGGTGTTGCAGGCTACTGGGGACCCTTGAGTCCTCTGGAGCAGGTGTGAATGGGGACCTTGTGCGGTGGGGAGCAGACCCATTACCTGGAGGGCGGCTCTCCAGCTGCCAGGGACACTGAACCAAGCAGGTCTGCTCCGGAGCCTGTGCCTGGGGAGCAGGTCAGCAGCCAGGAGCGCTAATAGAATTTCCTAATCTCGTTAGGCAGAAAATCATCTCACTGTGCTGCACATGTAGGGAGGAATGCAAGTTCAAACACTTCATTACCAGGAACTCTGACTTCAGCCATTCTCACTCCTGTAGGGCCCATTCATAACCTTAAAGGGATTAGCAGGCCAAGACCGGGTCATTTGCAAAGTTAAAGGAATTATCGACCAAGATGGAGACATTTGAAAAGTCAAAGAGATTAGCAGGCTGTAGGCCCCTGGGAATGCCTTCTCTGCCTCCACCGGATCCAGCTCCAGCCCACAATGCAGCAGTTTCGGCTCACAGGGTCACCCAGTCAGCCCAGGAGGGGAGGAAGGGCCAGGCCAGCAGAGAGCCCACTGCAGAGTATCCACTCTGGGGTGAACGGCTGCACAAGTCCTTTGTCCCCCAGCTTCACGACAGTGCCTGGATCTGGAGGGCCAGATAGGAGGGGAAACACACTGGACAGCCATTCTCTTTCTCCCTCCACACATTAGACTTTCACCTTCACTCTTCCCGGTCATCTAGCAAGGTGGGGGCAGAGCTGGATCTCTGACCTGAGCTGAGACCTCCGAGTATTTATCCTCTACCCGGAACTCTTCTGGTGCCACCCTGCCCTGCTGAGTGCCTGGCGGGGCTGAGGCTCCAGAGTTATAGTAGTGAACAGACAGACCTGACCTCATCCGGGTGGAGTTTGCATGAGAGTCTTGAAGATGGACAGTGGACTGATAAATATGTTCACATAGCAGCAGGGCCATGCTGGGGAGGACTGTGGATGAGGGCTGACAGCACACTCGGGGAAGGCCTTGCTGAAAGACATTAAAATTGACAGGTGATTTTTAGGGAGCCAGCCACAAATACATGGAGGGATAGAGTTCAGCAGAGGGACAAGTATAAGGCCTGAGGATGAATGGGGTAAGAGGGCCTGCAGCACTGACCCCAACAATAGGGCCAGAGTATACAGTAGGGAGAAACAGGAACAGGGTTTGGAGAGCTATGCTTTGTACTAGACAAGCCCTGTAGGTACATAAAATTTGGGGTGTACCCTGAGTAATTTGGGGAGCAGTGGGGAGAGAGTTGCTGAACAAGGGGTGACATCTTATTTGCTTTTTTGAGGGAGTCCTCTTCTGCTATATAGAGAATATAGAGAAGGGACCAGGTAGGAGGCTGTTGCAATAGTGTTAGGAAAGAGATGATGATGGTTTATACTAGGATTGTACATCAGTAGCTATTGCCACAGTAATGCTGTGTAACAAACCATCCCAGGAGTCAGTGGCTAACTGTAAGCCTTAGTTCTTATACTGCTCATCTGCAGGACGTCTGACTTGGTGGATCTAGGTGGGGCTCAGCTGGGCAGTCCGGCTGCAGGCTGCCTATAGCTGGGCCTGCTCCACACTGTGGGTTAGGCCAGGGCTGCTCCACTTGTGTTTGTTCTGAGGCTCAGGCTGAAAGGGAAGCTCCGTCATAGAGAGTTCCTGGAGCACATAGGAAAGGCAAACAGTGTTAACACACTGGGCATCTGCACATTGTGCCCACTTCCTATCCTTCGGCCAAAGCAAGTCTGCTGTCAGGGGCAGGGGATTCTCCTTCACCCGGAGCAGGAGAGAAAGAAAGAAATATTTGCTCAAGAGTAACCCAGCCTATCATAGATGGAGAGAGAGAGAGAGAGATTCTTGAGATACCCTTCTGGGCGCACCCCCTGATCTATTTCCTCAGCCAGGCCCCACCTCCTCAAGGTTGCACTGCCTTCCAGTGGCACCACAAGCTGGTGCCCAAACCTTGGCTCATGGCCCTTGGGGGACGTTTCAGATCCAGACCTGTGTTAGTTACTCTTATCTTGCAGTTGAGACAAAATACCAGACACCCAAAGTTAAAAGGGAAGAGGTTTCTTTGGCTTACAGTTCATAGAGGTTTCAGTCCATAGTCGGTTGGCTCCAAGACAGGGATGGCAAACAGACATTGCAGAGGAGAAACAACATGGTGCACAGAAGGTAGCAAAGGCAACAAAGGGACTTAACAGCATCTCCCTGCCCCTTTTATTTTATTCAGACTACTTAGGGCAGGTAGCGCTCACACCCTTAATCCGAGTGCCCTTGGGCCTAACATTGCATCATGAATCAATTCCAGCTTCACACACTAGATCCAGCCACCTTTGCAAAAGCCTATGACCACATGAGGCTTTCGGGGGGACAGCCAGACCCAAACCATAGCAAGACCCTAGCACTCACAATTGCACACTGAGAGCCTGCTTTCAACTCAGGCACACAAGCCATAGCCACACAGGCTGCTGACACAGCTCTCCTGTCCCTCCTCACTCCTGGGTGTGCTCTGCTGGAGTCTAGGGAACGCCAGCCTATGGCTCCCTCACAGGCCACGCCACACCTCTGCTTGCAGGTGTGGTCCTCGTATTTATAAAAATGAGGTGTGCATGTTGGGGACAAAGCCACAGTGCATGAGTTCATAAAATGAAAAGGGGACTTCTGTCTGCTTTCCTCTCCCTGACCCCAGTTCCCAGATATATCCACATTAACAATTCAGTGTTTATCTTCCAGATCTCGGTCTTGCATCTTCATCTAACTGTCTTGAGATATTCCCACAGGAGCATACATGGAACCACCTTGTGCTCATTATTGTCTTTATAAGTCCAGAATGCAGTTGAATCTATAATTGATTTTAATATTCTTCCTATTGATTGCTTGTTTTGTTTTGATGGTAATAGGAACAGTACTGCAAGGGCCTCATTTATGTGTATTTTGGGTGCATGTGTATAATTATTTATGAAGTTAGATTACTAGACTTGGAATTACAGGACCAATTTTAAATTGTCTTGGTAGATACAGCCAAACTGCCTCCACAAAAGTCATGGCCTCCCACAGCCACATCTAAGCATGGTGCTTTATGCTTCTATTCGTGTCATCTTAGAGCATGTTAGATTTTTTTTTTCAGGTTCTTTATGTCCTTGGCTCTAGGGAGCTTGTGGTCAATTAAGACTGCAGGGTCATTCATTTTTGCATGTACTAATGTATATGGTAGCACCTGAGCAGAAGGAGCCTGTGTGATGCATGTACTTTCCTGGCCACACTCAAGAATTACTGCCAGTGAGGGGGTGACAAAGAAAAGAAAATAAAGGAGATGATGATTGGCAGGAGTAAGGGGTTGTTAGTTGGGAGAGACTTGGGTTTATCTTCTCTCAGCCCAGTACCCAGTGTCCTATCGAGACTTCCCCTGTCCCCCTGTGGCCTTCCCAGCCTGAGCCTGGGTTAGCCACCCCAGGCTCAACAGGACCAGGCTGACCCCTATCTCCTGGTTGTACCCAGACCACACCTTCGGAGGAGCTAGGTGGGGCCCAGATGCTGACGCCCCAGGCTCCGTGTGCAGATGGCTTCGAGGAGCCAGGAGCACGGCAGCGGGCACTCAGTGCAGTCAGCGTCCTCACCAGTGCCCTGGAAGGTCAGTACCCCTGCACTCTCCAGACACTCCTCTATTCTGCTCCAGGCACCCCACCTCCATCCCAGCCCCATGGTTATCCTCTTTGTGCTTTGGCTACCATGGATGTCACTGCTCTGTCCTCTGTGGCCTTAAATGTCCTCAGCTCTCCTAGGGATCTTTTCATCGGGTTCAGCTTGTGTTCTCCTGGGCATGCCTACATCTGTGTTCCTCTCAGCACCTCTGCATCTGTCCTGGGCCATCCCCAGCTCTTCCTCCTCTCCCCTCTCCTCTCCCCAGCATACCCATGTCTGGAGCCTTGCATCCCAAGCCTTCCCTTCCTGCCCTATCCTGTCCCCAGGCATCCCACAGCCATCCCAGCCTGTCCCACCTTAGGTAACCCAAACTGGGCACCCCATTGTGTTCCCTCCTGTCCCAGGGGTATACTCATGGCTTACAGCTGTCCAGGAACCTCCCCCCGTCTCCCCCACATATCCTCATCTATTCCTTCCTTCTCTGTCCTGGGTGTCCTCATACATAAACTTTCCTGTCCCATGATTGTCTATTCCCCACCAGATATCCCCAGCTATGCATAGAACTGCTGGCTCAAATGAGCCTGCATTTGTCCTCATCTGTCCTGTGTCCCAGTTTTCCTAGCATCCCTTTTGGTCCCCTGCCCCTCTGGTCCTCTTCTCCTACATTGCCTGAGTAAGAAGACAGGCTACCCATTCCCTTGGCTTTCCTTGCCCCACTCAGTCTTACTGTCATGTAGCCACCCTGTCCACCCCCCAGGAACCCCAGATATGTATGACTACATTAACAAAACCCTGCTAACTGCTTTCTGTACCCTCAGAGTTGGAGGAGTCTCACCGCAAGTGTCCCCCATGCTGGAACCGCTTTGCCGAGCGCTACTTGATCTGGGAGTGCTGTCCGCTGTGGATGTCCATCAAGCAGAAAGTGAAGTTCGTGGTCATGGACCCATTTGCCGACCTCACCATCACCATGTGCATTGTACTCAACACCCTCTTCATGGCGCTGGAGCACTACAACATGACAACCGAATTTGAGGAGATGCTGCAGGTTGGAAACTTGGTAAGGGCTGCCTGCTGCAGACTCTTCAGTATGTGTCCTGAGGTGAGGGGCTCTTGGCCAGCTGGCATTGTAAAAGTTTATGAAGATACCCAAAGGCTGGGAAGCAAAAGTGAGCTGGGACTAAGTCTGAAATGTGTGTGTGGAGAGGCAGGATTTTGTAGTAAGTAGATGGAGGAAAAGAGTGTCCACAGGAAGAGGCAGTTCTTGGATGGCCAGTCTTGCTGAGATGACCAATCGTGTTGTTGGATGGGGGAAGGATGGATGAATGGTTGGCTAGAGAGTGGGAGGAGGAGCAGGGATGGATGGATGGATGGATGGATGGATGGATGGATGGATGGATGGAGTGTGTAAACCAGGCACAGCCAGATTTGAATTCTGAGCCAGCTCTTACTCTAGGACCTCAAGTAAATTACTCAGTCTACACAATTGGCACAATAAATATTTGCTGAATTTAATAAATATAAAATTAGTGTGACAATATTAACCTCATAGGAAGCTAATGAGGATTGAATAAGATAATTTGTGTAATGTGCTTCACTTAGAGTTTGATAAGCACTTAAAATAAATGGTATCTGTGGGTATTATTGTTATTAAGGACGCCAACCCTAGAAGTCAAAACGTTTGAATTCTAATTCTGATTTTTTTTTCTTGAGACCAAATCAAGCCTATCTCCTTACCATACAAATAGGGAAACTGAGGCCCAGAGACAGGAGGACGTAGTAGAGAAATTTGGGTATGTACCCACTGTCCCCTGACTCCCAGGCACCAACCATATTGGCTTCATCCTGGTAAACACTGTGCCAGCCCCTCTCTGAGGGACCCTAGGGCAGGACTGAGCCCTCTGTCTCGGGAAGGAGCTCCTGGTATCACTACTGAGGTTGGCAGGGAGGCCCCTGGCCATTCAGTCTAAGCTGTCTCAGGCGGCCCCCACAGGCAGGTGGGTCTCCCCCACTGTGGGTTGGGAGCATTTTCTCCTTCTATTACTCTCCAAACCCAAGGCTCTAGATAGTTCTTTGCAGGGTGTATTCATATTTTTTCACTAATATCCCATTGGCTGTAATTTCCTTTCCTTTCCTTCTTCTCTATGCAAGGAAAAGGTGCATCTCAGCCTGCAGGAGACTCATGGCACTGCAAGGCACTGGGTGGTCTTCGATGGTGGCTATGTGGGGTTTGCATTTATTGGAATGTGAGTGCTGGGCTGGCCTGAATAGCAGTCAGGTGTGGTAAAGAGCACAGGGCCACCAAGTTGTGGTTGAATAGCAGTTGTACTGAATCTGGGACTTGGTTTCAATAAAAGGTGATTGATATAGTTGGATTATAGCTATATTTTGTTGTTTGGATAGCTTTATTGCTAATATGTAAGATTTTGATTTTCTTGCATTTACTGTGTTCTAAGTGGCTTAAATACTAAATATAAAGAAACAAAACCATAAAAATACGCATAGGTAATAATCTTGGTATGTGGCAAGCCTTTCTAAGTACATCTCTAAAGACAAACTCTGTAAAGGAGAAGACTGATACACTTGACTAACTTTTTAGTCCATTATGTAAGCAAGATAAAAGGCAAATGCAACTTCAATTCCCAGAAACACAGTGGACAGAATAACCTGAGAAGTCTATTATAGAAAAACCCTAGCAGTAAGCATGTGAAATGGTTCTGCAGTGGGCCTGAGCAGGTGGTGAGGATGCTGATTTGGGTGATCTGGAGGCTTGGGTTTTAATGAGCATAGCACAGAGGACATGGAAGTAGGAACTGAGTAGCCCCGCAAAAATATGACTGCTTTGTTCTGTTTTCTGCGGCTATGGAGTGATTGATAAACAATGGAATTTTATTGGCTCATGGTCCTTGAGCCTGGGAAGCCCAAGATCAGGGGCAACATATGGTGAAGGCCTTCTTCTTGTGTCATCATATGACCTGAGTGCGAGCAGGAGTAAGGGAGGAAAGGGGCCAGACGCGCCCACGAAACCAGCCATGCTCAAAATAGCAGCCTTAGCTCATTCATGAACATGGTGCCCCATGACTCAGTCACCTCTTCAGGGTTCCATCTCTTCAGACCACCATGATGGCAACTAAATTTTGAAGTGAATTTTGGAAGGGATGTTCAAATCAGAGAAATGACCAGGAAGATGGCAAACCAGAAAAACCTACACACAGACACTGAGAAATGATGAAAAAGCTTTATCTTCGCCAGAGCCAGAGAGTGAAAAGCAATAACCCAAGGAAGCTTGTGACAATGAACTTGGCCTTTTCTGGATTTCAGGTTCAGCCTATGCCTAGAGAATTAGCATGTACAGTGATCCTGGTGTGATGTGTTGGGGTCCCTGAAAGAGGCAAACACAGAACTTCTAAGGAAGGACACATCTTTAAGATAACCCAGACTGGATTCCTCAAATTAAAAACCACACAAGAAGATATTCTACTGTGAAAAACAGTGAGCAAACACACACACACACACACACACACACACACACACAGAGTTAGGCTTAACCTCTTAAAAATGACATATAAAATTGTTGGCTACAGATGGTAAAACAATGTTTTTAATAACTGAAGATGTAAAAGAAGGAAATAACTAAGAAAGGAATAAGACAACTTTGAAAAAGGACCAAAGAAGATCTTTAGAAATGAAAAATAAATACATTGAAGTTTAAATCTCAGTGTGCAAATCAAATAGAACATTAATACAGCTGAGGAGATAAGTAAATAAATACAAATTTAGATCTAAGGAAGCTGCCCCAAGAGTAGCACCGTGAGACAAACAAAAGAAACAAGATGGAAGGGAAACAAATTTGGCATTATTTTCCAGTTTATGTTGTTGTCTTTGTAGGTAATCCAAGAAAATCTATAGAGAGGTCTTTAGAACTAATAAGAAAGTTGGACACTATTAGTACATGCAGGCTTAATCAACAAATTGGCAGCTAGTCACCATCAACAATGATTTGGAAAGAGTAGTTTTTAAAAGTTATCACACAATTTCAATTAAAACTAAGAAATCTAGGAATAAACATAACAAAAGATCTATACATTTTAAATGAAAAAATATGAAACTATTGGAAAACAAAAGAAGACTTAAATGAGTAGAAAGATGTGCCATTTCTGTGGATGGAATTCTTAATATTGTCGAGAAGTTAATTCTTCCTAAATTAACCTATAAATTCAATATCATTCCAATCCAAATATCAACACTGGTTTTCATAGAACTTGGCAAGTTCTGATTTTAAAATTCACATAGAAAAGTAAATCTTGAGGTAAATTAAAGGATATGGTAAAGAATTTACTGCCATATATTGAGATATATTATAAAACAAAAATATATAGTATTTATTTATATATAGTATTTATAGAAGCTACCATTTGGGTCTGTGACTTGATTTCCCTGTTTCTATCTATAAAATGGAGATAATAAGCATTACATATATTGTAAGGTTAAATGATTTAATTTATGTAAAACACCAGAACAATTCCTGGCATATAGCATTGGTATAGAGATAGAAAAATGGACCAGTGCTGTGGAATTAAGGTTTCAGAAATACAACAAGCCATATTTGGAGACTTGACAAATAACATAAATTGTATTATAAACCATAGGAAAAGTATGATTATTCCATAAAAGATGCTGGAAAGAATGATTATCTTTATAAAAGAAAATAAATTTATATCCCTACCTCATACCCTACTTATGACCTAGATAAAGAGGAATTGGATTTAACACTTAAATGTGATAAAGCAAAACTTTAAATCCTGTAGAATAAAAAAATAGGAGAAAACCCTTTAGGAAATTGAAACATTTATTCCATGAAAGAAAAGATTGCTAAGTTTACCTGTGTTGAAATTTACAAGGTCTGTACAGCAAAGGATACTGTGAACTAAGTTAAATCCCTACCACAAACTGGAAATTGACATTATGAAAAGTATTTAACTAGAAAGACATAGACTGCAGACAATATTGAACCCTTACACATCAAGAAGAAAGAGTACAATCCAATGGTAAAAACACAACCACAGCAATGGACAGAAGTGACAGACAAAGCATGGAAGAAGAAATTAAGATGGTTATAAGCAAATAAAGAGAAACACAAAGGAAGGAAAATTAAAACAATATTGAGATACTATTTCTCACCTCTAATAGAATAAAAAATAAACTATGGTTGGCAAGGATGTGGAACAGTGGGAAGTCACAGTTTGTAAGAGTATAGATTGGGTACCACCACCCTGACAATTGCCTATATATATTCTTAGGACAGTCTCACACATTGACACAAACGTGTTAGTCATAATGAAAAGTGGAGTCAATGTAAATTTCCAGCCATCCATAAAAGATGGATAAATAATTTGTGGTATATTCATACAATGAAATGCTGCATGCAATTAGAATACATATAAATGTATCAAAATGGATAAATCTCATAAACATGATGTTCAGAATAAAAGGAACTTGAAAGCACCAACAACAAAGCCCATTTATATAAAGCTTAAATTAACACAAAAATATAGTGTATTGCTATATGTACTAAAACATAAAAACATGGACAGTATAGGAAAAATGAACATCAAATCTGGAGTGATGGTTGCCTTGCAATGAATATAGCACTATGGATGGCTTCCTCTTTCTCTTGGTGACACGTGGTGGATGAGACGTAATGACGGAAGCCACCATTTGGGTCTGTGACTTGACTTCCCCTTTTCTATAAAATGGAGATAATAAGGGTTAAATATATAATAGGGTTAAATGATTTAATTTATGTAAAACACTAGAGCAATTACTGGCATATAGTAAATACTATTTAAGTCTTTACTTTTATTATTTTGTGAGGAAAAATAAAACAGCATTTGAAACAAATGGCAAAATGTTAACATTTGCTAGAGTTTGTGGTACATAAAAGGTACATGTTATATTATCTGTACTTAAAGTATATATTCTTGAATTTTTTAACTTAAAAAATGCAATAAAGATATATGACAAACCAGGAATATCATAGCAATCTGTACAGTGGACTGAAGGATAATAGCCCTAAAATATATTTATAGACAATTTTTAAAAAGTAAACACCCTACTAGAATAATAAGCAGAAAACATGAACAGGCAAATTTGCAGAAGAAAATACAAAAATCAAAGAAATGGTCAATAAAACAGCCATGTCCTGTTGAATTAGAAAAGGTAGTAGGAATGGGATACCCAGTATTAGCATAGTAAGAGGCAGGTGGTTACATCCATCTGCTGGGATTGATTAAGACCTAACCCTGAGGATCATTAGCCATGTACCAGAATCTCTAAAAATGATCGTTGACTATATAATTGCATTTCCAGAAACCTATCCTATGAAAAGAAAGTGCAGGTTATTTTAAGACAAGTATGTAACATGCTATTTATTATGGCGGCAATGTTTTTAATAGGGAAAATGCCTATTTCAGAGAATTGCTTAAACTAGTTATGGCATATCTGCACAGAGGAATATGCCTTAACTGTTAAAACTTTTTTTAAAAAAAGAAAATGATGCTGAAGACTGTGTTTAATTAGAATGGAAGGGCCGGGGATTTAGCTCAGTGGTACTGCCACTTGCCTTGCAAGCGCAAGGTCCTGAGTTCAATCCCTGGTACCAAAAAAACCAAAAAAAATCTAGAATGGAAGGATATTCACAGGGTATTGTGTTTTAAGTGCAGGTTTACAGTGTGTAGAGTATGATTCCACTACAGGCATATGGCAAGGTCAAGAGAGTTTGGGGTTCCCCGGATGGTCCCCATCTTAGGGAAGCCATTAGCCCTGCTGGTGGCCTCCTGCCAGGAGGCAGGGGAAGTGGGTCTCCATGCCCAGAGCCCTGCCAGATATATGCATCTGCTTACGTCTGCAGCAGCCCCTGCTCAGATCTGGTGTTCTTGGCCAGTCTCGGCAGCCAGAATAAATGTTGCTGATAGTAATAATCACCACCCTCTTGCAGGGCATCCACTTTATATCTAGTAGCGGTGACTCTTAGAAACTCCTATAGAATTATTAGTACACCCCCCCTCACATACAGGGACACTCAAGGCTCAGAGAGATGGAGAGATTGGCCCAACCCCACACAGGGGCAGACCCAGCTGTGTTCTCTACTGGTGTGCAAGTGTAAGAGGCATGTCCAACCCACAGCCTATGGGCCAGTGGCCCTCTTTCTTATTGATGTTATAATAAAAATACAAAAATACAACACCGGGTGTGGTGACACACACTTGTAATCCCAGCACTCCAGGAGGCTGAGGCAGAAAGATCACAATTTTTAGTTCAATTTTGGGCAATTTAGCGACTTAGTAAGAACCTGTCTCAAAATTTTATAATGGCTGGGGATGTAGCTCAGTGCAGAGGCCCTAGGTTCTATCCCCTCTCCCTCAAAAAAGGAAGTTTTGTTGCTTATATACATTAACTGTATTACATATTTTATACATGGCCCAAGATAATTCTTCATCAGTGTGGCCAGGCAAGCCAAAAGGTTAGTTGTCCATCTGTGAACACATGGCCTTAAAATCTGAGTGACTCTGGGAAAGGAGAAGGTCTGGTACCAGACCTCATGTCCTTCTCAAGCTTATGTACATGTTAAAGTCTCCCGAGAGGTCTTTAAAGCTCTCTATCCCAGAGCTGCCCTCCAGCCCAGTTTACTTGGAATCTCCGGGTGTCAACAATTTCAGGACTCCCTAGGTGATCCCAGAGTACACCTGCTCCAAAGAAGCACTTCTTAAATTTCACATGGCCTGGGAATCTGGCCAAAATGCAGATTCCAATTCCTTCTGATTGCTGAACCCCAGCAAGGTGCTGTGACCATGCCGGTCTCCAACTCCCGTATCTTCATGGCTGCTGCAGGCCTGGCACTGTTTCCGGAGGCACCCAGTCCTCTCCACACAGCCCTCCCCTCCAGAAGACCCTGAGTATCTCCTCCCTGCCCTCAGAACAGCTCCCACCTCTTCACCTTGGCCAAGAACCCTGTGTATAGGCCCCTGGCTTCCAGCCAGCCATGTGCTCACCAGACACCCCTTCCTCTGGCACCATGCCCGCATCACAGCAGTTGGCACCCTTTGCAGCAGCTGGCTGTGGTGATGGCTGCCAGGTCCACCACATCGCAGGCCCAGGCCAGGCAGCATGGGGCTCATGAGTCAACAAGCCAGGCACAGCCCAGCTTCTGCACTCTCTGGAAGGTCTCCAGCAGAGAGGGCATGCTCCAAATCTTGGAGACAGCACTGTCTCTCCTGATCTCAAAAATACTAAGTAGACTCCAGAGAGCCACTTCATCTTCCAGTGCCTCAGTTTCCTTATCTGTCATATGGGGACAGTTATAATATCTCCACAGGATTGTTAGACCGATTAAATGAAACAACACATGTGGAGAATTCTGGACCACTGCTTGGCACATTGTCAGCTGTGGAGAAACACTGGCTGGTTGATATTATGGTGGGAAAAGCCTGGCTTGTATTAAGGAGGGAGGGTTTTTCAGGTAGCAAGTATAGCTTGGGCAAAGGCCCTGAGTCACGTGTGCCAGATGTGTGTGGGGATGCATGGATTTTGCATAGGAGAGAAGCACTTCCTATGCAGCCCACTGCTGGAAAGAGCCTGGAGCTAAGTTATTGCCTACCTCAGCCTCCCCTGCTCCAGGAGCCTCTGGAGCTGGAGTCCCTGTAGACCCCAGGGTAGGCCCCAGCTGTTTCTGAGTGCCAGGCTGGTGCTGTGTTTGGTGAGCAGCTGAGAGGGTTGGGGCATCAGGCTGGAGAAGAGAGCCATGGCTGAGCGGGCACCCAGGGGAGCCCAGGAGCAGTCAGAGCTGGCAACCCTGGAAGAAGACCCTGCCAGAGCAGGTCAGGAAGCAGGGTACCCTTGCTGGCCACAGGTTTCTCCAGCACACACTTCAGGACCCCTGATTCCTGCTTCCTCCTTAGGTCTTCACAGGGATCTTCACAGCAGAAATGACCTTCAAGATCATTGCCCTCGACCCCTACTACTACTTCCAGCAGGGCTGGAACATCTTCGACAGCATCATCGTCATTCTTAGTCTCATGGAGCTGGGCCTGTCCCGTATGGGCAACCTGTCGGTGCTGCGCTCCTTCCGCCTGGTACCAGGGGTCCTGCTGCAGGGGTGGGGGTGGGGCAAGGGGGCTGAGTGCACCTCCCTCTGAGGTCACCACTCAACCACTCTTGCTTTGCTGTGTCATGCCTGAACCCCAGAGCCTTTTGCTAGTAGTGCCTGTCCCTTAATGCCTGACCCAATGCTAGTGGTGTCCCAGGGGCTGGTGTTTCTCCATCCCCATTTCACAGATGAAGAGACTAAGGCTAAGAGATGAAATGAGTTTCCCAAAGCCACATGGAAGTAACTGGTGGAGCCAAGTCTGCCAGCTGCTCATCCAGGACTCTGTTTGCTGGATAGGCTTGTGGCGGGGGGGGGGGGGGGGCGATATTGGGGATCAAACGCAGGACCTTGCTCTTGTGAAGCAGGCAGGATAGGTATTCTTGAACTAATGTGTGCACACACAAATCTCCTGAGGATCTTGTAAGGCAGAGGCTGGTTCAGTAGGCCTTAGGTGACACCATACAACACTTGTAGCTCCAAATGACTCCGAGGTCCAGATTTTGGGAAGGTTGCCCAGAGCCAGTCCTGAGCACTGTGAATGGTTCCACTGGGGGACGTAGGAAGGTAGGCTGATGGTGCAGTAAGAAAAGTGCAGGCTATGGGTTCTAATCCCAGCTCCATCATCATAAAGGATTGACTTCTTCATTTGTCAAACAAGGTAGTAATAGTGCCAACTCCTATGGTTATTGGGAGTACTCTGGAGAAGTTCGTCCATGTAGGTATTCAATAAATGCTAAGCACCTGCCCCCTTTCTCTGTGAAGAGAAAGATGGGGGTGATTGGATGAGTCAGAGATGGTTTGAGTTGGCCTGAAGGATTCTTGATGGGGATGGGTCTATGAGGAAGGACATTCCAGGACAGGAGAATCTATTGGGCAGTTCCAAGAAGTAAGACAGAGCCAGGTAGTAGGCTGATGTGGAGACAGAGAGTCTAAGTTGGGGAGACGGGTGGGAGATGTTGATCTGATCCCCACAGCCGAGTCCAGTGAGGCCTCCCTCAGACCATTCAGAAAAACTATAGTGGGTGATCTTGCAGAAATGGGGAGAAACAGATGTTGGTGACATCAAGGCTTTCTTGGGCTTTGGAGCAGGATCTGTGGAGAGTAAGGGTGTCCATGGGCAATCAGAGCCAAAGCCCTTCACAAGTCTCCTTCCTATTCCTCCTTCACCAGCTACGGGTCTTCAAGTTGGCCAAATCATGGCCCACCCTGAACACACTCATCAAGATCATCGGGAACTCAGTGGGAGCGCTGGGGAACCTGACGCTGGTGCTGGCCATCATTGTGTTCATCTTTGCTGTGGTGGGCATGCAGCTCTTTGGCAAGAACTACTCAGAGCTGAGGCATCGCATCAGTGACTCAGGCCTGCTGCCACGCTGGCACATGATGGACTTCTTCCATGCTTTCCTCATCATCTTCCGCATACTCTGTGGAGAATGGATCGAGACCATGTGGGACTGCATGGAGGTGTCTGGGCAGTCATTGTGCCTGCTGGTCTTCTTGCTTGTCATGGTCATTGGCAACCTTGTGGTGAGTCAGCCAAGGGCCTCACAAATACCTCATCCGTCCATCCATTCATCCGTCATCCATTGTCCATTCACCCATCTAGCCTTCCACTCATTCCCTACCCCAACCATCTATCAACCTACCCATCCATTCATTCATGAACCAGTCCCATCCATCTTGCTAGCTACTCTGTCACTCATTAACTCATCCATCCATTCATTCACTTTTTTTTTTTTAGCACTATTAGGTATTGAACCCAGGGCCTCACACCTGGTAGGCAATCTCTCTACCACTGAGCTACATCCCCAGCCCCAATCACTCACTCTGAATTGTATTTTTCTTACTAATTAATTTACCCACTTATCTGCAGGTTTATTCATTATTTACACATTTTTTCATTTATTGACTCACCTACACATTATTTTATTCAGCATGCAAAACGTTGTACTAGATGCTGGTGGGCACACAGAGGTATATGGGGCCCAGCCTCAGCCTAATGCTGCTCACCTAGAGAGAAAGGGAGATGGGGAGTTCAGACTGGCCTCAAATCATCCTCAGACTGGTCAGAGTGAGCAGAGCCATTGAGGAGGAACCCATGGGTGCTGTTCCCCTCCAGCTAGGGAGATGAAGGAAGGCTTCCTGGAAGAAACTGGCCTAAGAAACAGGTAATGCCAAAGGGTGAACAAGCATAGGGGCAGACATGTGGATATCCTGGTGGGGTGGGGCCCAGTAAGAGCTTTTTATGTCGTCCTGAGCAGCGGTGGTGGGAGTCTCATCCTGATGTTCCATCCTGCTTTTCCATCAAAGGCCAGGCCTTTGCTCCTATGGCCACTCATCTGTCCCAGTGCAAGTGTCTCTTGCCTTGTATCATTATAATGTGCAGAATTCCAGAGATGAGAGAGATTGAAATCTAAGTTCCAGAGAAGGGGCCTTAAGAAGAAGCAAGGTTGAGGTGAGTCAGTGCTTCAGACACAAGTCAGGGTCCCCTGTGGATGTGGAGCCACCTTCCTGACACCCATACCTGCATGGTCTGGCTCCACTGTAGTTGTCTCTGTCATGGGCAGTACAGGGTCACATAAGCACATAGAGAGATTTTAAATCCACTTTTTCAGCCTGCTGTGGGATAAGACTGGACTGTAGAACCAGAGCATTTCCCCAAATCTGCCTTCACCTCCCAGGAGCTTTAACCAGGCCAGGCCAGACCAAGCCAAGCTAAGCCAGAGTCAGGCCCCTCAGTCCCCCAAAGGAACCAGGACATCAGTGCACACTGCCAATAGAACCCAGTTCTATGGCTGGCCTCACATTACCTCTTCCATGCCTTCAAACCTGCTGCCCTGGGGTGGAGCCTTACTTAGCCCCTGGCCCAAGGCCTGAGGTAGCAGGGATGGGCTGCCAGACTGTTCTAAGCAGAAAGCAAATGTGTGGAGCACTCAGCCCAGGGCCAGGCCAAGCCTCCCCTCACACACAGAGCCCTGCCATTTCCAAGCGGATCTGCTTGGGGATGAGATTAGAGGCTGCTGGAGGAGGGAAGCTAATGCCAGCCCACGCCCCCTCCCTGGCCGCCTCAGGAATTGGGCTGCTGCTGGCAGCGTGGGTGGAAGCAAGATTGCCATTGAAATGGGAAGCGATGATCAGGCAGGGCTGGAGAGCAGTATATGATTGACGCAGAAGCACTGGAAGAAGCTGAGCTTGGGAAGCTGGGGACAAGGGAGGCCCACAGGTCCCATGTGGGTGGACAAGACCACCAGATGCCCCCCTGCTGGGCCCAAAACTCTTGGGATTGAGGGACCTGGGGCCAGACAAGGCTGAGGGCTGCAGGGGAGGGTTCCTGGGGTCTGCAGGAACACAGGAGGGGCATACCTGGCCCTTTGAGACCGCAGTCAAAGGCCAGGCCAGAGGTGCATATAGATAACAGCTCTGATTCCCATCACATGTTGTGCCCCACAATGATGACAAAGAAAGAACTGCCCAGTGTCAGGAGTGATCGTCTCTCCCAGAGACAGCCCAAGCTGCCTGCTCCTAAAGCTTCCCATACCAGCCATGTAACTATGTGTTACTTTTTAAACAGAAGGTCTGTTCATAAGGCCTGGTTCTCCAGCCTTCTTCCTGTTTCCATCAGAATTCTCATTCCCAGCTTTCTGACAAGTGTGGGGTCCCGGTGAGGGCATCTCTGCAGGGCTGTGAAGCCAGAACAGAGAGGATCTCCATCAAGAACTGTGTGCCCCCTCACCAGCCACCCTACTGCAAAGTCCCCATTGAATTCCACTCCCGCTCCAGAGGACACCAAGCCCACTGCAGGGAGACTGTGACCCAGCACTGTCAGCCTGGCAATGCTCATGGATCAGCCTGACCCTGTGTGGGCCAAACCAGCTGCTATTTTCGTTCACCCTCCACGAGCCTGGGAAGTGGACCCAAGCCCAGCCCCTTGTCACACAGCAGACACTTGTTCTTAACAAAAGCCCCACATGTGCAAGATGGTTTGACAACACAGTTGTCCAGAATCGTACAAAGGCCGAGAGGTCATGCAAGTCCCAAGTCCCTCACCTGAATAAGTACTGACTTCAGAAAAGTCCTGTGCCTTCGGAACCTCAGGACCGTATGCAGCTCCTCTGACCTCTGCAGCAGAATGGGCTTTGAAAACAGGCTGACCCTGGCACCAGCCCCAGGTCCTCACCCCACAGGGTCTGGTCCCACACAGCATCCCCTTAGGTGGCTTAACAAGCTAGACATAGCCACCTCTCTGTGGCCAATCCCACAATCAGCCAGAGACACCTGAGGGCTTCTTGTGCCCTCCTGGCCTCTTTTCCTGCCATTACCTTTTCTCTGCTCAGTCCCTTGTATTCCTTCCCTGGAAAGAACAGTCAGATGGGGAACACAGGTAGACTGTGCCCTACAGCAGCAGCTCCTGGTCTCCAAGCAGGAGCCACTTCTGTGGAGAGCTCAGAGGCAGATCTCTGCAGCTCCCTCAACAATAGACACATGGCGCCTTCCCAAGGGTCCCTAGAGCTGTGGGGGTTTCCAGTGGGATTCTTTTTGCTCCCTGAATGCCCTTTCCCCTGTGCCCACCCTGACCCTATTGCCATGTTACTCCCAAGGTAGCAGGAAGAGGTAAGGCAGGAGGAAGGTCTGTGTGGAGAAGCAGCTGGCTCCTGGATGGACTCTGCCTACTTCTGTGCAGCTTTGCCAAACCCCTCTGGGCCTAAGCCCCATCTCCAGCCTGGGCCTGAGCTAGGATATAGGAGACCTGGCTCTGAAAGTTCAGACTATCTCACCTTTTTGGAGGAAGTATTTGAATATCTCTTTTATAGACAAATCCTCCACATGCCAGAGAACACGGGCTGGGGGTTAGAGTGAGGCTCCAGGGCCCTGGCTTCAAGCCTTAGAGCTGTTTGTGCTAGGCAGTGCTCAGGACCTCTGGCCTCAGTGTCCCCACCACAGAGCTGAGGCTGGCCCCATGCCATGCACGGTGCCTGGGTGAGCCAGCCCTGTCCCCCACAGGTCCTGAACCTCTTCCTGGCCTTGCTGCTCAGCTCCTTCAGTGCAGACAACCTCACAGCCCCCGATGAGGATGGAGAGATGAACAACCTACAGCTGGCCTTGGCCCGCATCCAGCGGGGCCTGCGCTTCATCAAACGGACCACTTGGGACTTCTGCTGTGGGCTCCTGCGGCGGCGGCCTAAGAAGCCTGCGGCCCTGGCTCCCCGCAGTCAGCTGCCCAACTGCATGGCCAGCCCCAGCTCCCCACCACCCCCAGAAGTGGAGAAGGCACCCCCAGCCCGCAAGGAAACACGGTTTGAAGAGGGCAAGTGTCCTGGCCAGGGCGCCCCCGGGGAGCCAGAGCCTGTGTGCGTGCCCATCGCCGTGGCCGAGTCAGACACGGACGACCAGGAGGAGGATGATGAAAACAGTCTGGCCACCGAGGAAGAATCCAGCAAGCAGGTGAGCCATGCCCACAGAGCACTGCTGTCCAGGGGTCTCACTCCCAGCCCCACCCTGCTACCTCAGTAGCAGCAGAAGACCTTGGAGGAGTGGGGTGAGGACAGAGGGCTTCTGAGGCCAGCTGGTTATGGGAAGCTGGCTGTACAGACAGGGAAACTGAGGCAAGGCAGCAGAGACTTGCTAGGAGCTCCTTGTGAGTCTAGGCCAGATCCAGGCCCCCACCCTGACCACTGTTCACTTGCAAGACCAGCAAGGTGGAATGTCTTGGCGTGGCAGGAGTGTGGTTTCCTGACCTTCGGATTGCCCCTTCCCCTCCTCCATGCCCGGGGCTCATTCTGAGATTTAAAAATAAGCATCCCTAAGACGGAGGTGTCAGAGACAGCACTATCTTATCTCCCAACCTGTTATTTTTAACACTCGGGACCAGTGTCTGGACAAAACAGACAGCGCCACCCCGCAATGTTCCCTTGGCCAGAGCCAGGCTCCAGAGGCTTCTCCTTGGGTCTTCAAATCAAGCAGCAGTCCTGTTCTCCCCATAGAGGTGGGCTGGTGCTGGGCTGCCTGGCAGTGGAGAGCGGAGCTCTTCTGCCCCTTGCCACATGGGGAGCTCAGGGCGCAGCGCCGCCTCCCTGGTCTCCGTGGGGTCCCAGAGGCCAGCCTTGCCTGTGCAGTCAGGTCTGTACCACTGCGGGAGGGGAGTCTGGTGTTGCCAAGAGCACAGCTTCCAATTATCTCCTGCCCAGGAGTGGAATTCCGGCTACCCCCCTTTTTCCTGTCCTTTCCTTCCCTTGAGCCTGTTGACTCTGGCTCCCTGGGGCTAGCATGGGAGTGTGTGTGTGTGTGTGTGTGTGTGTGTGTGTGCGTGCACACGCAAGCACACATGAGCCACCACACTGGGGTGCCCGGAAGCTCCTGGGGGAAGTCAGCGTGTCCCTCCTCAGGGAAGTTGGTCGTACTCACAGCATGGTCCAGCTGCGCCCTTGCTGAGGTCTGGAGATGGGATTTGTGCCAGGCTGGCGGGGCGGGGGGGTGTTGGCTACAGGACCTGTGCCTGGAGCTACAGGCAGCTCCCACCACCCACTCAGGACCCTGTATGTCCACAGCGAGATGGCTGCCCACAGAGAGACCTTCTGGCTGGGTGTATAGGCCAGCTCATGGGCTGGGGTCTCTTCGGCAGGAATCCCAGCCTGTGTCTGATGGCCCAGAACCCCCCCAGGAGCCCAGGGCCTGGAGCCAGGGGTCAGAGACCACCTCCTGGGAGGCTGAGGCCAGGGCGTCTCAAGCAGACTGGCGGCAGCAGCGGAAAGCAGAGCCCCAGGCCCCAGGGTGCAGTGAGGTAATGCACGCCTTTGTCCCTGGAATCAGCGGGCCTTGCTGCTTGGGAGGGCACAGCTGCAAGAGATCCCAGCACACACCTGTACTTGCTGCTGGGAGCCACTGTCGCTGTCACAGGAAGCATGGGGATCTGTCTGCAAAGAGGAGGGTGGACACCCGTCCTGATGGGAGAGATGGTGCCGATGGATCCGGGCCCCTGTGGAGCAGACAGTCCCAGACCTGGTACAACACTAACCTGACACCTCTGGCTTCACCCTCACATTCTACTCCTATGCTCTCATCCTGTTTGGCAAGTGTTTGTCCTGTGAAGCCCCCACCAGGAGCTCAGAAAACTTCCTAGTACATTGGTCACCAGATGCTTCTCTACTCTACTAAAGCAGAGGCCACAAACGGGAGCCCCCCACCCCCAGCCTGCCAAAGAGATTTATTTTGCCACCAAAAGGTTTTACTTTAGCCAGGTGGGGTGGTGCACACCTGTTACCTCAGCACTCTGGGAGATTAAGGCAGGAGGACTGCAAGTTCAAACCCAGCCTGGGCAATTTATTAAGACCTTGTCTCAAAAAGAACATTTTCTTTTAAATGAGCAGAGGATGTAACTCAGTGCAGAGGCCCTGGGTTCAATCTCTAGCACCAAAATTTAAAAGTAAACAAGTTTTACTTTGAATTACATAACACCTTTTCAAACTTGGGAGCTTTTTATGTAAAAATCTGCATTCTGACTTCTCTTTTAAAATTGGAAGAGGTGCCACCCCCTGCTAAAGGAGCCAGCTAAGGGGTAGCCACCTTCCTGACTGTGGTTGGAGCTCTCAGGTGTGCTGCAGGGCCACCTGTCATTCCCTGCTTGGCCCCAGAGCTGAGGGACTGTGGTATGACTAACTGTGCTGCCTAGCCTCCCTCACGTCAAGCATGTGGAAGGGGAGGCCACATGTTCAGAGGGCTGACCTCAGTCCTCAGCCCAGGGCATGTGACTCCATCCTGTGAAATAGGCCCAGGGGTTCCTGTGGTCACAGCCAGTTCTGGGACACAAGAGCCTAGTAGAGTCATTGCCCCAACTCTGCTGGTTATCACCTCCCCCTGATGGTCTGACCCTTGAACCACATGGTAGCAGGAAGATGGGGAAAAGTCCCAGTAAGAATGTGTGTCTTTGACCATATTGTGTAACCTCTTCCTTTCCTTAAATCAGTTTATTGTGGGACCTTTAAAAGGGAGAGAAAAATGTACTGGAGTTTTCCCTGGGAAAGGACTCTCTCATCTCACCTGGAGTGGGATCCTATGATCTTGTCCTTCTGCATGGCATCTCCAGGGATATCAGAATAGCAGCAGAAAGACCTTCTCAGCCCTCCCCTTTCCTAGCCCTCAAAGCCATTGGACCACAAAATGCAGAGCCTCATGCCTGTCCACACCCAGTAGCAGGCTCTGCTTTCCCCAGAGCCAGACCTTTCTCATCACAAACCTCAAAAATGGAAAAGATGACGTAGACATTGGCAGAGCCATTCATTGAGGGAAGAGAAAGAGCAGAGCCAGAGAAGGACAGCTGTGCTTGAGAGTTCAGTTCAGCCTGCTCCAAGTAGGGCCTGGAGCCAACAGAGGCAGAGCTGGACTCGGCTGGAAGCAGAAGAGGGATTTCCTTTCTTCACATGATGCTTTCCCCACACCTGTCTTTGGGCTGGGCTCCCTGGGACAAGAGCTGGAGCTGGGACTGGGGGACAGGGATCGCTGTGCAGATCACTTGTTGAGGAAGTGCTCTTAGGAGAGACCCCTAAGGAAGTGCCAGGAGCAGATGAGGCAAAGGAAGAAGCTAGGTAAAGGCTGGAGCCCACCCTGCCTGAGCCCAGGGGTGCTCTGGAGCCTAAACTGTACTGTGTGGTCCCAGCTTAAGGCAGGAGCTGGCCCTCTGGAGTCCTGAGTCCTGCTGAGCGTTGGTATCTGCAGAGTCCTTTCCCAGGATGGCAGCTCCCTGCGGAAAGAGTTTTCTGGAGGAGGGATCAGCTGAGCCGGTCAGGCATGGGTTCTCTGGTCCTATAATAGAGGGGACCTGCACCGAGCAGCAGCAGTGGCCACTGCCCACAGGTGGCACATTCACAAGAACACACCTGCATCCATATGCAACCCACACCTCCCTGTAATCAAGTTAATGTCTGGGCAGCAAACCCTGAGTGGCCAGGAAAGGAAGGCTTCAGCACCTTCTCAATCTTATCTCGGGCATAAATGTCACACCTGGACCCACATAGTTAGGGGAGAAGCATGGATGGGTTGCTGCCCTATTTTCTGCATGCCTACCTTGCTGCTCTGTGTGCTGTGATTCTGGTTCTGACTCTGTTCTGGGTGTGTGTCCATATCCCAGCATGTGTCCCTGTTACTGCCCCATGTCTGCTTGTTCCCAGCCAGATGCACCCCATCCCAGAGTTCTTCAGAGCCATTCACATGCCCACATCCCAGCCCTAAGCCCCAGCTGACCAGAATCACAGACAAAAGGACCCCGAGGTCAGCCTGGGCTCAGTCCCCCTGGCCCTGCCTCTGCAGCAGGTGCCCCAACCTCAGCTTGCCTGGGTGTGCCACGGAGGATGATATGAGCTCCCCAACTTCCCCTAGACTCTGGGATCAATGCCCTCACCCTTCCCACCCCTTTGCCATGCCCACAGACCCACGAGGACAGTTACTCTGAAGGTAGCACAGCAGACATGACCAACACTGCTGACCTCCTGGAGCAGATCCCCGACCTCGGCGAGGACGTCAAGGATCCAGAGGACTGCTTCACTGAAGGTACTGCCTGGGCAGACCTCTGCCCCAGCCCCAACGCCACCTAGAGGGGACAGGAGGACCAGCAGCTCCTTAAGGTTCCCACCTTAAGGGGCCATGTCCCACCCCCACCCCAACCTGGAACCTGTCCTCTGTACCCAGTTCTCTGTGACACCAGGTTTCCTCCATCGACCTGTGACATAGCCATGGCAAGTCAGGTGAGCAGGGCTGGGCAGCTGTAGTATAGCAGCACCATGGACCGGTGACACTTGGTGATATGGTGGCACAAGTGTGTGCCCCACTGCAGCAGGGATGGGCCCTAACTCACCCCTGTACCACCAGGCTGTGCACATTGGAGGCCCTTGACAATACCCAAGGTGGATGTGGCATGTGGCCATGTTGGTGACTGACATCTTTTATGAATTGGTGGTATACGTTGGATAAAATGAGGAGTTTCCTTTCATGTGGCGTGTCAGTCAGGGCTATCACTGAGTGGTCTCCCTTCCCAAGACTCAGAAACTACAAAGATGGAGAAGACCTAGGACAGAGTACCCCAGAGCATTTTCTCAGGGAAAGGGCTTCCCAGATGCACAGAGAAAAAGCTGGGACCCATGTCAGCCACAGCCTTGCAAAGCCCTGCCCAGACCTGCCAGGCTGTTCCCTGCTCACTGGGTGCTTAGTCCATTAGGCTGTGTGTGTGGTCCCTGTAGGGAATGCCCTCAGTCCACCCGCACTGGGCCCACCCACCATGTTACCCCGTCTACCACCCCATTCCTCAGCCATTCCCTCAGCCACCCAGACAAGGGTATTCATAAGGGCCTGAGCTGAGCCTAACTGTCACCCTTCCCCATAGGCTGCATCCGGCGCTGTCCTTGCTGTGCAGTGGACACCACACAGTCCCCAGGGAAGGTCTGGTGGAGACTACGTAAGACCTGCTATCGAATTGTAGAGCACAGCTGGTTCGAGACGTTCATCATTTTCATGATCCTGCTCAGCAGTGGAGCACTGGTACCTCTTGGGGATGTGGGGCTGGGCTGGCCAGGCTAGAGGAAGGGAAAAGAGCAGGGAAAGGAGGCCTCCTGATGGAAAGCCAGGCCAGAAACTGGGTCAATACCTCTGCTGAAAATGTGCTCCCCAGGCCCCTGGAGCAGAGTTCACGCTCTCAACACCCACAGCATTTATGGAGGCCAGAGCAAAGGCCATGTGTCCAGTCCTCTTCCTTCTTCCATGAAAAGGAAATTCTTTGTGCCTGGTCACCAGCCTCTCACACTGGAGCTCTGGTGACACACCTACCCCTGTATACAGTACCACATATTCTGTCAAGTCAAGTCTGTATGACCTGGTCATAACTGACTCCACTTAGTCCATACCCTCTCTAGGCTGGAGGCTGGGCCATGTCATTCACATTGTTGCATTTAACACCCACAGCAACCTTTGTGGAGACATTAGGTAACTTACCTCAAGCCCCACCACCAGATCCAGCATTTGAACCCAAGCAGTCAGATTCCAGAGTTCTTTGCCTTGACCTTCCATTCATTCAATAGTTCTATTCTTAGCTTTTCTTGTGTCTTGCCCTATAAACCATGGGGGAGCAACAGACACAGAAGACCACAGCTCAGGCCTCAAACACTCTGAGTATAGTTAGAGAAACCAGATTCCTCAGCTTTGAGATGTCACAGATTGGAACAAGAGAGTTGAGCAAGAATGGCATGGAGAGGTAAGGAATAGGAGGTCAAGAGGACTCCTTGGGGGAAGCTGGAGCTGAGCTTCAGAGGTCAGGGAGGTTGGTTGAGGCCAGGAGGAGCAGAGAAGCCTCCAGAGATGCCCCAAACTTTCAAGCACCCTGGGCTGATCTGTCAGAGCCCTTCTAGGAAGAGGTGGGACAGCCCTGGAGAAGGATCTGGAAGGTGCTAGTGAGTAGAGAAAATGGAGATCAAGAAGGTACGGGGCCCAGGGATTTAGCTCAGTGGTTCTGTCGCCTGCCTTGCAAGTGCAAGGACCCGGGTTCAATCCCCTGTTCCACAAAAAAAAAAAGAAGGCAGAAGAAATGGAAGCATCTTGGCTCATAGGCAGGAAACCCTGTACGTTGGGAAGCAGGGAATGGGGAATCCTTTGGATAATAGAATGGGAAAAGGGCACTTTGACCTAATGCTGCTCTAGGCCTCCTCTTCACATGGTGGCCTCCTATGGGGCAGCCACAGGGAGGCCTTGCACCTGTCACTCCTCAGCTCTGGAGCAGTCACTCCCAAACTTCTGGGCCTCCCACCCCACTCAGCACTGCCCCTCCACTGGCTCAGGGTGGTCTAGAGCCACAACTGGAAGCCTGCCTGCTGTTTTACCATCGCAGCCAGAGCCAGCCAAATCTGTATTTCCAAGAAGGATGATTTGACAATATGTTAACAAGTTTTGTTTGGAAACAGCCATAAACAAGGGCAGCCAAAGCCTTTTAGCCTGGGCTGTGGAGGAAAAGCTCTGCCTGGCATAAGTGAGGAGGAGTTTTGGCAAGCGTCTGATGAGTCTAATCAGGATAGACAGCCAAGCTCTGTGTTAAAAATCATGTCAATGATATATTGGGAAAAAGAAGTCTGAGTGTGTTATTTAAAGTTGTAAACTTGCTTAACGAAAGCAAACTATATTCCTTCCAAATTGCTGAGGGGGGAAAATTATTTAAGAGATTTTACAACACAAGAGAGAAGAAAAAAGAAGCATAAAATCAGAAAACAGAAGATAATATGGCAGAGGCAAGATTGAATATGCTTTAATAATAAATGTAACTGGATAAAATTAATCTTCTAAAAGGAAAGGGTTCTGAATGCATTTTTTTAAAGTCAGTTGTATGTTCTCATTACCAGAGGCAAATGTCAAGGCTACCTGCTGCTCAACTACCACTATCCAGGAGACAAGTGTTGCTGAGAAGGAACCAGGATTATTTCAGAAAGGCTCTGAAGAAGAGAGAGGGCTCACTCATTCCTCAAAGCTCAGGGACAGTGGTTTGGACAGGGAGCGGAGGAGGCAAAGAGGCTGCAGGCTGAGTAGGGCCTTCCTCAGCGAGGGCATGGCTCGTCCAGGACATCACAGTGGATTTCAGCTTCCTGAAGCTAGTTACTGAGGAAGATGGTACAGAGACCATCTGAATTCTGTAGATCTAAAGAAAAGCTGAGCAGCTAACATCTAAGCAGGCTTCTCTGCAGCCTAAAGATTAGGGATGATGAGTGAGGGAAGGGAAACTGAAGCAAAGGACAATTTCAAGGGCCTTCTCAAATGACAGATCCAAAACAAGATGACTTGGAAATGTTAAACATGAAGCAGTTATACAGATGAATATCCCAAATCCAAAATGCTCAGAACCAGAGATGTTTCCAATCTTGGAGATTTTGGGATCTGAGAACGTTTGCATACCCTTTAGCAGTTGAGCAACCCTAACCCCAAATCCAAATTGCTCCAAAATCTGATAGTACTGGAAGATTTTACCATGATTCTATTAGTTTTTCACAAATCAAATGGAAAGAATAAGAAAATGAAAGGCCTAAAAATATACTGTTAATAAATTTGATCAAACAGAATAATAAAAATATTAACTAACAAAAAAAATATTAACTAACACTTGAGTAGCATTATGTGCCAGATACTGACTTAGGCATTTTATAAACCTTAACTCATTTAATTCTGAAGTAACAGTACCTTATGAGATAGATACTGTTATTAAATGAATTTTATGGGCAAGGAAACATCATCAAAAATGGGGGCTGGTGCTGTACTCAGTGATAGAGCATTTATCTAGCTTGTGTGAGGCCTGGGTTTGATCCCTACCATTACAGGCAGGCAGGCAGGCAGAAAGGAAGGAAGGGGAGAAAGAAATTAATTGATAGAGAAAGAAAGAGAAAGAAGATAGGGAGAGAGGGAAAGAAGGAAGGTTAGAAAATAAAATGTAAAAGTCATTGTTAAACAGACCTTGTATCAAGCACAAAATAGTTTTGTGGTAGGTTCATGGATGTTCAGTAAATAAGTGAACAAATAAATACAATAAAGAGGGCTATTCATGGACCAATAATTACAATGTGCTATAAATCAAAGGTTATGATTCAAATAATTCTGTCAACCTTAAACAATAGGAAAATAAGAAAGGAAAAATACAAGTAGAGAATGAACTGCCTGGGAGAAAAAGTGAAATAAAAATTTTAAGAATGCTGCATATGGAATGTAGTAAGCTGTAAGAAGAGGAAAATTTATAGATACGTTTACCATTAAATAAAAAGGGTGAAATAAGTTAATAACTTAAGAAATTATAAATATAACAGCAAAATAATCTTAGGAAAACTAAAGGAAATAGTTAAATAAAACATAAAATAATGAATTAGAAAATAAAGAATAAATTTATTTAAAATTCCAAAGCTGATTCCTTCAAAACTGAAAACACTCAAGTAGATAAAAATACTAGCTAAATTCTTACATCTCAAAGGGTGGAGTCTCATTTTCTTAAGGAAGAAGACAATTTCAAATCAATCCTATTTAAAATATACTAGTATATGAAAAAAGATGAAAGTTTATAAATTATTCTTATAAAAGATAATGCTGATTTTAAAAACTTAAAGTATATAAAAAAGAAAATAAAAGATCAATTTTATACCTCATACTCCATACTTGTGAATAGTGGTTAAAAAAATCTTGAAATTAATACATAAAAACAGGATCCAGTTGTATATTTAAAAGCTTAAATATATCATAGTTAGGTATATTCTAAAATGTCAGTATGATGCCATATTAAGAAATCTAAGTATATGAATAGAACAGATTTTTTAAAAACATATAATTATTCCAAGGAATACCTGTTTAAAACTCTGGTAAAATAGAAATAAAAACTATTTTCTTACTTCAGTGAAGAACTCTCAAATTAACTTCTATCATCAACAATAGTATAGTACTTGGAACGTTTTCATTAGGGTTAGGACTATGAAAAGGATCATTTACTTGCTCTGTAGCTGTTGCTCATTATTTAATAAGAATCTTTAAGTACTAACCAGTGTAATTAATCCAGAAAAGTAAAAATTGGAAAATGGAAGAATTGAAGTCAGTACAATTAGTCAAGTATAAATGCAGAATTTAAAAATAATAAAAATTGAGGCTAGGGATAAAACTAGTTAGTAGAGTGTTTGCCTAGCATGTACCCCCCCCAAAAAAAATCCAAAAAAACAAAAACAGAAAGAAAATATTTAAAACATTATTTAGCCAATTATGAAATAAGCATACAAGAAATTGTCGTGGTTGTTGCTGTGTTTTGCTTTGTTTAGTTTTATTTTTGGTTTGTTTGTTGTACTGGAGATTAAACCCAGGGCCTTTGTACTGAGCTACACTCCCAGCCCTTTTATTTTGAAAAAAGATCTCACAAAGTCACTAAGATGCCCAGGTTAGGCTCAAATTTGCAATCTTCCTGCCCCAGCCTCCTAGAATGCTGGAATTACCAGCATTTGCCACCACACCTGGCTTGTTACTGTTTTATACTAACAGAAACCATTTAGTCACAAATAATATTTCTCAAATATTCCTTACCTGCCAGACACTGTAAGCATAACATAATCAGGAATAAATACATTGGTGCCTTGGTTCACAAACTTAATTCTTTCTGTGATTCTGGTTGCAAACCGAATTGGACAAGAGCCAAATCAAATCTCCCCATAAGGTCAACAGTGAACCTAACCATTGAATTTGATTTGGTTCTCATCCAATTCAGTTTGCAACCAGAATCATGGAAATAATTAAGTTTGGGAACCAAGGTATAACTGTATAATAAGCAACATAAAAGAAGTACATGAAAAACAGTTTAAAACTTTGCTAAAGAATATTTTAAAAATGAATATATATACTCTGATCTCAAACAGGAAAACTCTATATTAGTTCTTAAAGCAGTTGATAGATTTAGTGCAATAGTATCTTAGTTACTTCCTCATTGCTAGGACAAAATGCCTGACACCCACAAGTTAAAGGAGGAAAGGTTTATTTCAGCTCACAGTTTGTAAAGGTTTTAGTCCATAAGGCAGGACAGCATGGTAGAGAAGAAACAGTCCATGGCAAGACAGGCAGGAAGCAGCAAAGCAGCAAGTCTTCTGGATTTTTATGCCTTCCAGATTACAAGCCTATAGGTTGATGCCACCCACACCCAGGGTAGGGCTTCTCATTGTCCACATCCAGAACTGTGCTAAAACAATCAATGGATTAATTTAGCTATCACACACCCTTCATCCATATTCACACACCCTAAATCCAGCCACGTCTAAAAAGCTCCACCTATGAGCATATGAGGCTATGGGGGGACATCTAGATATAAGCCATAACAAATAGCAATAAATTTTCAACCGTATTTTGAGTGTATTTGATAAAAGTTGCTGAAGTTTGTCTTGAAGATTGCAAAAAAAGGCCCAGGGAAATGTACATGATATTAATTCAGGACTAGACAGCATCAAAACCACATAGGGGAACTTGGGGATGTGGCTCTGTGGTATAGCTCATGTCTAGCATGCATACAATCCTGGGTTCTATCCAACACACACACACACACACACACACACACACACACACACAACACATAGACCTGAAATAGATTTAAATAAATACAAAATGGAGTATATGATAAAATTGACTTTTTTTTTTTTTTTGGCTTTTTGAGACAGGGATCTCACCATGTATTTCAGGCTGGCCTTCAACTCACTATGTAGCCCAGGCTGTTCTCGAACTTGGAGTGATCCTCCTGCCTCAGCCTCCTGAGTGCTGGGATTACAGGCGTGCACCACTGCACCCAGCTTTAAAATTGACTTCTTATCAATGGATTTTAAGTGAATTATTTGATGAAGTATTAAAGTTTATTAAAATAAGTATTTACTTTATCAAAATGTTTAAATTTTAAAATGGTAATATAAAACAATTAAACCAAAAATCCTTTTAAAAAAGTTTTTTGTTTTGGTTGTTGTTTTTTTATTTTTCTAGTCTTGAGATAGGCTTTCTTTTTTTTTTTTTTTAGATGTGGCCTCACTATGTAGGCCATGATCTCTTTGAACTCAAGATCCTCCTGCCTCAGCTTCCCAGAGTGCTGGGATTACAAGTGTGCACCACCACACCTGGCTGGGAAGAGCTTTCTTAATATAAGACCAAAGATTTTACTAAATGAAAATTGTAACAAATGATGTAACTATATTAAATGGTAAAATAATAAATGATAATGAAGTATGGTAAGCAAAAGCAAACAAGGTTTAAAGGTACACAACAAACTGGATAAAGTTTATCAAATAAAATGTCACCAAATATACCAGACTCAAAATAGGCAAAGGATATGAACAGGTGATCACAAAAGGGACACTGCACGTACTCAAGAAAGAGATATTAGTGTCTCTGTAAGGAGATAAATTAAAAGGTAACAGAATACAATTTTAGTTCATTAACCTGGGCAGCAATACCAGCATGCCTGGAGGGTGGGGAAAGAGGCCTGCTTGTGCTCTGTGGACAGAACATAAATCAGTATCCTCTTCCAGGGGCCTGTGCACAGCTTGTACTGAAAGCTGCCTGTGACCTGACACCCCAGCTCTAGAAATTTATCCTCAACAAGTGCTCACACATTGTTCATCCCCATGTTGTTTCTACTCAGAATAAGCTGGAAACAACAGAAATGTGCTTGTTAGGGTTATTAGCTGACTAAATAGTAGTACACAAATATTGAAATATCATGCAGACTTTTAAAACTCATCATGTAATTTGCATTCACATCATCAAGAGTATAAATGTTCACAACATATTGATGATAAAAGCTATTTCAAGCCAAATATTCAGAGGCTTTTATTAAAGTGTGTTGTGTGTGCATGAGTGTGTGAATACACATGCATTTGTACACACACTCATAATTAGTGTCAAGAATGATGTTTGCCTACATGTTAGCAGTGATTAGTTACAGTGGTATCATGAAATTAGAAATGCTAATCTTTTATCATTTCTATATTTAAATAATATAGAAAAAATTAAATATTTTTGGTAGGAAATACGCATTTTTATTTAAGGAACATTAAACACATACACACACACACACACACACACACACACACACCCCTACTCTTTACCTCAAACAACTCCCAAAGTCCATTTAGGGACCTAAATTACACTGTTGTGCTGTCTACACTGACCCAATTAGCTATATGCAGTGATGCCTCGGCTCATGAACAGTTTTGTTTGCAAACAATTTGGTTCACAAACAGAAGCATTTGGCAAAATTTTCTTTTTGTTTGCAGACTGCATCCAGTGACAAACTTGGTGACAGCCATCTTTCTCACACAAATACAAATGTGGCCATCTTTTCCAAGATCATGGAACAAACTAAGTTCATGAACCAAGGCACCATTATATATTCTCTACACCTCTGCAGTGTATCCCCAGGCACCTCCAGCTGCACTCACTCTTGGTCACTGTAGCTCACAGAGGCCCCAAAGTCACACAAGGTGGCCCAGGAGTGGCAGGAGAAGGCTTCACCCCTGGGAGCTGAGTGACGTGTTCAGTTGCCTAGACAGGGACCTCAGGGCATGCTCAGGATGAGAAGGGACCTAAGGAACGGTACAGATCTGAAGACAGGGCCGCAGGGCACTTCCTACTGGCTCAGGAATTGGGTAGTGGCAGGAATAAGCAAATGGAGACAGACTTACAACCTCTAGTGTTTTAAAAACTTTGACTCCTAGATTCTGAGGATTGCAAGAAATTTGACTTCATCTAGATTGGTATTTCCTAAACTACATATCTAAAATCTTGTGTGTGTGTGTGTGTGTGTGTGGTACTAAGGATTGAACCCAGGACCTTTGTGCTGAGCTACATCTGCAAACTTTTTTCAATTTTTTGAGACAGGATGTCACTAAATTGCCCAGGATGAGCTCAAACTTGCCACCCTCCTGCCTCAGCCTTCCAAAGTGCTGGGATTACAGGTGTGCACCACCACACCCAGCTCCTCTTTCATGATCGTGTATTTACAGTTCTACTGTAGAGCAACTCGCACTGGTTTTTTATAAAGGGAAATAATAATTATTATAATAAGAGACCATTATTATTTCCTGTGAAAATTAGGCAACTGTTTAAATAAAATGAAAGCAAAAACCATTTTACACTGTTTGGGGCAGAAAGTAATGAGCCGAGCCTGCTTGCCCTCTCTCTGTATTAAAATGGAATGTGTGTGTATTTGAGAAAAGTTAATCTTAGAGATGCCCTGGCCCAGAACTGGCATTTGCTTTTTAACATAAAGGAAGAACTGTTCTCACTTACTGCCCTGTCCATCCACCTACTGCCAGGACCACTTCTGACTCAAGCTGGGAGGGGAACCTAGTCCAGCACTGTGGTTCTCACCTCTGTTCCTACCATCCTGAGTGCACTATTGTTAGACCTGGTGCCTCCTACATGGTGGACCCTGCGGTGGCTAGGACACTGTGCCCATCTGTCTGCTTTGCCCACAGGCCTTTGAGGACATTTACCTGGAGGAGCGGAAGACCATCAAGGTTCTGCTGGAGTACGCAGACAAGATGTTCACCTACGTCTTCGTGCTGGAGATGCTGCTCAAGTGGGTGGCCTATGGCTTCAAGAAGTACTTCACCAATGCCTGGTGCTGGCTGGACTTCCTCATCGTGGACGTGAGTGTGGGAACTCCCAGCTGGGGTGGGGGAGACCTCATGGTCCCCAACGTGGAAGGAAGAGGAGAAGTAGGAGACCTGGCTCCAATCTTAGGAACCCCTACTTAGAGCAGGAGCAGAAGCAATGGGGAAATCAAAGCCCCTGTTTTCAGGAGAGACAGTACAAAAGCCATTCAGGCTGTACATGAGCCAGAGAGGATGAGAGGTTCCCCCTCTCCAGCTGGCCAGAAGAGAAGGTGGCAGACACACCTGTACTGTAGTCCTCCCCACAGGTGACTCCAAAGTGTCTCAGAGCCTCTGCACCATACTGGGGGTGGGGGGAGTAGAGGGGAGAAGGCTGGGGAAGGACAGGGCAGGTGCAGAGAGAAGGTGCACTCAGGGAGGACAAGGCTGGGTGAGGTCACCTGTGTAGCAGGGATGCATAACTGGCCCAGGTGCCCCATTGGCAGGCAGAGTAGAAAGCCCTGAGCCCAAGCCTCCCAGGCCCCAGGGTGCTGCAGCTACCATGCAAGGTGTATGTAGGCTTCAGCAGGGGTCCTGAGCACGGTCAAGTGGGAGCCCCCAGACCTGCTGTCACCAAGGGGAGTCCCAGAGGAGTCACAGTGAAGCAAAGAGTACAGAGGACTCCAGTGCATGCTCATCTGTGGGACCCCACACACAGCCCGGAGCACAGGTCAGGACTTGCAGGCTGCAAAGGCCTTCCCAAAAAGTGCTGGTCTGTGGGCTCCTGGGCATGACATGTGCTCTCCACACCAGAAGGGGGACTTGCTGCAGTTACAGAAGAGGCTCAGTTCCCACACCCTGCTCAGGGGTCAAAGGCAGGGGCTCAGCCCCCCGTAGATCTGGTTTAGATGCAGGCCTGGGACACCAAGTGTGGGTGGGAGGAGGGGCCCTCGGACCATGGGGTCCTCAGCAGGAGAGGCTACATGGGCTGGAGAGTATGTGAGAGACTCAGACCCAGGTCCTTGGGCCCCCATTTGGGGTCTCTGTCCCCCCAGTTCTTGGATGAGGGGTGCAGTATTCCAGGGGTTGGAGAGACGGAGTTCTAGATGTCCTGGGCAGCCTGGCCCAGTCCTTGAGCCTCCCCAAGGTGAAGGAAGAACACCAAGGCTCCCTGCCCAGCTGTTCCAGCAGCTGCTCGGGAAGTTGGGACTGCTGAGGGGCACCCCCAGAGCCCCAAGAACCTGCTACCAGAGTCCAGGCCAGGTAGAGAAAAAGGAGTGACAGTGCTTCCTACTCAGGCCACCAGGAGGATGAGCCTGTGGAGAAGCCACTGAAGTCACCACAAGGAGGGCCTTGCCCACCACTGGGCAGAGGAGGTGGGTTTCTTGACAGTTGCCATGCTGCCCAGGAAAGGTCTTGGGCTTCATTCTGGGAGAGGGGGTTCCCAGCATCTGTCTGTGCATTTTTTTTCAATACCATTAAGCATCTATTATGCACAAGCACTGCTGGAGGTGCTAGAGATCTCAGGGAACAAAACAGACAAAACTCCTGCCCACATGGAGAAGGTGACAGCTAACAAGAGACATAAGGAAGAAACCAATTTTATGTTAGGTTAGGTTAGGTTAGAAGGTAATATGTAGCATGGGGGAACAGGAACTAGGGGAGGGAAGGGGATTAGGAGTAGAAGCTGTGGGGCAGAGCTGGGGTGGGGTGCAGGTCACAGCTGTGAATACCTGCCCAGAGTGAGTCCAGAGAGGTGATTTCTGAGCAATTCTGAAGGAAGCCGGGGCTAGCAGGGTGGATGTCCGCAGACCATTCCAAGCAGAGGTTGGAAAAGCCACACAGAGCCTCTGAGGCTGGCGCACCCATGGCACACTTGAGGAAATGGAAGTGGACCAGAGTAGCTGGAACAGAGGATTGAAGGCTGGGGACTGGGCCGGACTGCACAGGAGGGGTGGGGGTACTGGCTTTTATTAAGAATGAAATGCAGAAGGCATTGGAGGGCTTTGGACGGAACAGTGATGTGCCCTGGGTTTTGCGCATAAAGGATGGCTCTGATGTGGGTGGAGGGCACAGGAAGAGGGAGAGGGCATAGTAGGAGCAGAGTCAGGAGGCCGTGACAGTCACCTTGGGAGGGATGAGGGGGCCGGGTCAGGACAGCGGCAGCAGACATGGTGAGAAAGGGTTAGCCATCTGATGTAGTTTGAAGGCAGAGCCAACAGGAAATCCTGACGGGTTAGACCTAGGGTGTCAGTGACGGAGGAGGCAGGGACAACATTGTGGCCCTGAGAGGATGGGGTTGCCATCAACAGATGGGAGACGAGGGTGGGGCAGGCGGGGCGAGCTTCAGAAGGAACAGTACGCCGAGGGTGGCTTGTCAGGAGTGGGGCCAGCAGACCGGCCGGACTTGGTGCTCTGGATGCCCTGCCCGAGACATTCCCCCTGCCTCCTCCAGCCCCTTTGCAGCCAGCCCTCGGCCCCACAGTGCTCCCACATCTGGGATAAGGAGGCTCTGGGACTTAGGCCCCGGCTACCACCCTCCACATCCCAGGCTGCCTGAGCACCAGGGCAGGGTTCAGGGAGGTCAGACAGGAGGCCTCTGTAGCCTGTGACCACCAGCCAGCAGTGGAGCAGGCAACGAGTGGATCCCACAGAGCTCAGAGGACAAAAGGCACCAAGTGGGAGTTCCCTGGGGAACTCAGAGTTCTTCTGTGTGGACTGGGCATGCTGTGCACCCCATCTCGGATAGTGGCCCCCTTCAGAGCACATGTGTGACGTGCACAGTGGCTCTCAGAAGGGTACAAGGCCACAACTCTCTGGCTTGACCTAAACCTTGGGTGCTTGGAGCCTGGCCCAGTACTCACAAGCCTGTGAAGCTAAGCCAGCCAGGGACAATGGAGACCAGCTCACCCACAGCCTGTCCGAGTTGGCCCTGGAGCCCTGCCATCTGTCCCTGTCCTATGTCCCACCTCCACTTTGCTCCACAGGTCTCGCTGGTCAGCCTGGTGGCCAACACTCTGGGCTTTTCTGAGATGGGCCCCATCAAGTCGCTGCGGACGCTACGTGCCCTCCGACCCCTGAGAGCCCTGTCACGATTTGAGGGCATGAGGGTAAGAGGAGCTGTGGCCTTTCTACCAGGCTGTGGGAGGAGTCACGCAGAGACCTCTGGACTCTGCTTGCTGGCAGTGTCCTAGAGACTTGGTGAAAGCATGGCCCAGAATCTCCAGTCTGGGGCCCCCAGAAGGTGGAAGACTGAGAGAGCCCTGGACAAAGGAGGGGAGACAAGAGCTCACTGGGCACAGATGTTTCAATGACACCCCAGGTCCCTGGCACCCAGGACTCCTCCACCTCCACCCTGAGAGAGGTCTCATCTGTCTGTGTGCCCACTCTGTGTGTCGGCATCCCCTGGCTCCTGGCAGACGTGGGCTGCCTTCCCTCCATCTGTGCTGGGCAGGGGACTGTGGCAGGAAAGCCAAGGCCAGGCGACTCAGATCAAGCTGTATTTGCACCATCAGGTGCCAGTGTGCAGAGTGAAAGGATCATGTGCTTAGTGAATGCTTTTGCACTGTTTTCTTAGTGCACCTCCCTGTGCATTTTGCAGGCCACCATATTTTTTACCATCAAGAATATGAGCACTCAAGGCAAATTAAAAGCCCCCAAGAAAAACACTAGCTATGACATGTAACAAGAAAACACACATGCATGTGTTTCTGTATGTGTCTTTGTTTTTGTTGTTTCTAACGAAACATACACAATTCCATGTGGCTGCTGAAGTCACATGTGTCACCTCCCTGACCTGGAGGGCACTGTCACTCACCATTTGGCTGACAGCTTTGAACCTTACCCACATCCCCAATATATGGAGAGATATGTTGCTTATTCCTGGTGGAAAACCATCCACAAGTGAATAATTGGTCTGGACCTAAAGATCTCTTTGGGAGCAAAAGCATTTGGTTCCAGAGGGACACAGGGAAATGCCAAATGCCAAGAATGCCTCTGGCCACTGGCCCCAGAGCCAGCAAGGGCAACTCCTGAAGGATCTGCCCTCTCCCTAGGCAAGTTTGGTGCCCTTGAGAGCCAGGTTTCCCACCCTGTTCAAGGGTTGCTCCTGCCTGCTGGGGAGCAGCACCTCCCACCTTGGCATCCGAGCCCTCTAAGCCATACTACAGAGTCCCACACCAGCTCCAGCCCCTCCATGGGATAAACATTCTCCCAGCTCATAGACAGATAAGTCCCTCAGTGAGGCTGTGTACCCCAAACAAATCTTCCAGGGAGCCCTGTCTTGGTTGTTGGGGGCATTATTCAAAGAGAGTTGAGGCTTCGGCTTGATGGGGCCAGATAGGCCCTCACTGGGTATTGAGAGGCACAAGGGGAGCCCAGGCCACAGCCAGTATAGCTCTGTTCTTAACTGAGCATTGCAGAACTGTCACAGTGTGCTCCAGACATGTCACACAAAGGTCCCCTGGGTATGCTTTAGGGAAAAATGCCCATTGATTCCAGTAGCAGTCGCCCTGAAAGGAACCAGAAACTTATCCCAGGGAATGTAAGACTAGTGGTACTGATAGGAGGTTCTTGGGGATATGTTTTTGGAGGCCCTTTCCCATGAGAATCCTCAACTGAAAGAGACCCTGTTTTTATAAAAAGTCAAGTTTTGAAGCTCATGGATACAAGCAAGGCAGAGGCAACAAGGGAAAAACATATGCTCTGCGGTTATGTTGGTGCAAAGGAAGGCGTATATGTTCTGCCATGCTTCCAGCCATGGAGTTGGCCTCTCCCATGATCATAGATCTGTACTCTTCCCCACAGCAGCCACCTGTAGCCAGGGAATTAGTTCAGTGGGCAGTCTGGAGAAGGGTGTATGCTCTGGGCACCCTCAAGAACTGAGTCTCCTCTTGGTCCCCTTGAGGTGGTGGTCAATGCCCTGGTGGGTGCCATCCCATCCATCATGAACGTCCTCCTCGTCTGCCTCATCTTCTGGCTCATCTTCAGCATCATGGGTGTGAACCTCTTTGCGGGGAAGTTTGGGAGGTGCATCAACCAGACTGAGGGAGACCTGCCTTTGAACTACACCATTGTGAACAACAAGAGCGAGTGCGAGTCCTTCAATATGACTGGAGAGTTGTACTGGACCAAGGTGAAGGTCAATTTTGACAACGTTGGGGCCGGGTACCTGGCCCTCCTGCAGGTGGTAAGTCTCAGAGAGGAGGGACTTCTCTCACCAGCTCTCAGCAGCACCTGCCTTCATCCCTGGTGTGGGCAAGAGGGGGTGATGAGCCTCAAGGAGGCTAAGGATTTTTCCAGAGCCTTGAGAAGTCCCCAGATTTTCAGTTGTAGAACAGATGCCACACTCTAAAAGGTGCATGGCACAAGGGCCAGGTCAGTACTGTGGCAGAACCAGCTTCCCAGCCAGTAGTCAAGTGGACCTCTTCAGGCTATCTGGTAGGCAGTGTGATGGCGCCAGTTAAACGTGAAAAACTGTAGACTCCCCAGGGGCTGGACTATTAGCAAAACTGGCTCTGGCCACCCCTTTGTTGTAAAAGGAAGTAACACCTCTTGTGTTTTTTAAAAGAATATGTTTTCTTCCATTTTTGATGTGCAGGATATGTAGTGTCTAAACACACAGTGCTTCTAGACTTTCCACTGATTCTGTGAATTTGATAGCATCAGTGATTCTGACATATGCCAAAAATTAACCTACCATTAGCCTTGACAACAGAAATGCCAGCAGAATTATTATACATGCACCTTGATTATCTTGCTACCTAATTATAAATCTGGATGTCTCTAGCCCCCCAAAATCAAGGGAAACTCAGGAGACTATCACCTGGAAACTTTTTGTGCATCCATTCACAGCTCTGCCCAACCCTTAAGTCCCAGCAGTAACCACCCCACCCCCACCCCCTTTCCAGGGCACCACCCCAGTGCCCTGAGGACCTCCTGCTAGGTACCACCTCTGAAAGGTTCCCTACATCCCAGGAGGTCTTGCAGGGGACCAAGCCTGTGCCACACAGATTTGAGGGGGCACTCCAGATACAAACCATGGCACTTGACCACCTCAGTATGCTTAGGCACAGAAAGTTTGTGTAGCTGAGTTTGTGTGTTGAAGAGAGGCTTGGGCATGATTAGGTTTTGCCAGGTACACAATTAAGACCCCACTGGGCCACTGGTCTCACCACCAAGCATGTCTCTTGGCACTTTCTGAATCTTCCTAGCAGCCCAGACTGGGGCAGCCAGTATGGCCACGCCAGGACCCTGCCCCCTTCACTCAGCCCCCAACCAGACATTCCTTGGTGTGCTTTGCTGTGCTGTGCTGGGTCTGGGTATAACATTAGCAGAAATTTTGCAAGCCAGTTCTTAAGCACAGCCATTATAAAAAATTAAATTTTATGAATGTATAATTAACTGAGATTAAAACAGAAGTAGCAAATACTCAAAACTCAGCATTACTTTTTAGTATCATCTATGCTGGGGAAGTTATTTACATCTATTCTACCTGTACTAGAAATACTGTAACACTGTCCCTCTTCACATCTCTTTCCAACTCTGTGTTCAGTAATAACATGTTGGTGACTTGAAATCGGCTATGGAAGGAGTATTTATATAAGAGAAATTGGTCAACACAACAATGAAGGTTTTTCTTTCTGGAAATCCAAGACCAACATGCCACTGCCCAGAGGTCTCCTTAAGGCCAAGGCAGGGATTTTTCATGCATTTCAGGGGAAGTCCACAGAGCAGAAGCCACATGGTTCCTTGAAGTGCAGGATGAGGGGGTTCAGGTCACCACTGAGGTCAACCTTAAGCTGGGACAGGGAGTCCAAGGCCCACCTCTTTGTCCCTGATGCCCACTGGTGAGACTCTGTTGTGTTAGAACCTGAAGTATATGCAAAGCAAAAGGCAGACCTCCCTTCAAGGCACCATCAAGAAGGTTACCTCTCACAGCACAGCCTTCTTGTGGTGTCTGTTCAGCTGCTTCCCTTTCACCCTTAGACCTAAAGGAGACGTTTCCATGGACCACCCAGCCATTTGGACCAACTGAATGGGTGTACAGGGCCTGCTTGCTTCCTATAGGAGGCTTTTTCCTGGCCTCGGCTGTCAAGACTGGAGCCTTGCATAGCCCAAGCAAGATGCAGAGTTCAGTGATTTTCTTAACCTCTCTTTTCTTTCCAGGCAACATTTAAAGGCTGGATGGACATCATGTATGCTGCCGTGGACTCAAGAGGGGTAGGTTGCCACCCTTGTCTCTGTCACCAGATGGAGCACCTGAAGCTTTTGGCTGCTTGGCTGCCAGGGAATCAGTGTCCACATCTGAACACCCCACCTGCCAGGCCAAGATCTTGTGTATCCACCTGAGCTTCAACCTCACTGGAGCACCCAGGCCCAGCTCTAGAGCAGGGTTGCATGATCGCCCAAGAAGACTCCAATTCTCAAATGTGTTTTAAATTAAGCTCACTGTAGTTTACTCAGATCTTATTCCAGGAGAATGAGATGACAGCGACAGAGATGAAAATCATAGTTCTTCTTTGTCCTTGTGCCCCACACAATCACACTGGCAGCTCAATGAAGACTAAGAGTGGCCCCAATATACCCAACCTATCAGTGGCCCTGGAGCTGAAGTCACACACTGACACAGTGCCAGCACTGGGCCCAGCATTTTTGCTGCCCCTACCTGCCACTGTCCATTCCTTTTACCTCTGTGCCACCTTCCTGTGGCCTTGCTCTGTATTCACAGACACACTACCATACACCCATGCTGGTGGCCTTTCTCTGGACACAGCCTCTCCCACAGAATGGCCCTCTGCCACCGCCCCCACCTGTCAGATCCTGAGACCTCAGCCTGTCTGATCTCCCTGTCTGATTTCTCCCCTTAGTACGAAGAGCAGCCCCAGTGGGAGTACAACCTCTACATGTACATCTACTTTGTCGTTTTCATCATCTTCGGGTCCTTCTTCACCCTGAACCTTTTCATTGGTGTCATCATTGATAACTTCAACCAACAGAAGAAAAAGATACGTAGAGCACTGCTCCACATGGGCAGAGCGGGGCTGGGCAGGGCTGGAGCCCGGGTACTGAGGAGCTAGTGTGGCTATAAGGCGCATCTCCCCATCCCTGCTGGGGATGGTCCTCTTACTGCGGTAGAATAAGTATAGTGGGGGCATCCATGGATGTAACACACCGAGGCCCATAAGAACATAAAGAGGGGCTTTGGTGGGAGACCCAGTGCCTGCCAAACCTCCCTGAGAGCTGCAGGGGTGATGGTTGGCTTTTCATCTGGGCCGTAGTCAGAGGTCATGGGTGCAAATGCCCAAGGTCTTCCTGGAGCTCCATCATGGGGGCCACGACTGTTTGCAGGGAAACCAAGGGGACAGAGAGAACCACAGGCCTGGCTTAGCTGGGCAAGGGGAAGAGGTAGGGTGGGCATTGGATTTTCAGGTCACCATGCCACGGAAATGTTAAGGTGAATGGGGACAGGGATTCTGGAAAAGCAAAGCTGGGTAGAATCTCTGGTGCAGGATAGGGACATCATTTCTCCACCAGGAGGAGTGAGGAGGTGACCCGCTTAACGCTGGTGGCAAGATCCTATGCTCCCTGTGCTGGGGCACTAAGAACTCCAAAATGAGGCAGGTCCTTGTCTCTCTGCACTTAGGGGGCCAGGATATCTTCATGACAGAGGAGCAGAAGAAGTACTACAACGCCATGAAGAAGCTGGGCTCCAAGAAGCCCCAGAAGCCCATCCCTCGGCCCCTGGTGAGTCAGGCTTCCTGGCAGACTGGAGAGAGTCTTCTGGATGGGATCTCTCAGCCATGCAGCCAGCCACTAGAGCCTCTTCACAATTTGTCATCCCATCTAGAGGTGCTCTTGGATGTCTGACCACACAGAGGTCCTTACAGCACATGGATAACAGGGAAGAAGCTATGTAATCTGGAAGATACTACTGATCCTTCAGGGTACAGATTTTCCCTGGAGAGTGCAGGCAGCATTCCCAGCCTATACAGCACCCATCCCCTCCTCCTGTGTTATCAGGAGCTGTGGTCAGGAATCCCTGGTTGAGCAGAGCTGGGCTCTGGAGTGCTGGGTTCTCTCCTAGGCTGTGTTCCTTGACCTGATCAAGCTGCTCTCCCAAAGAGTAGGAAGAGAAGAAAGCCCAACATAATTAAGTGATGTAACCTCAATCTAATGAGTGGCACACCTAGTTTTTTTAAATCCAAGCTCATCACTTTCATCTGATTGGTTTTTTAAAAATTAATTTTATTGGTACATTTTAGGTATACAATATAATGACATTTATCATTGAAAATTTGCACCTTTACATAATCTCTCTTGGCTTTTATTTTTCCCCCTTCCCCTGCCCTCCCTTCAACCCCTCTATCCCTCCCTATTTACAAAGACTTTGTTTCCATTTTTTCATTTTCTCATATTAATTCCATTTC